CGTCACTTTTCAAAATGACACATGACAGAAGAATCTTACACCAAGCTGTCGAAATGAGCAGAGAGTTAGGCATTATGTCTTGTACTTGTACGAAGTAGTTTTTCCATTGTTGTTGCAACTGATCTCTGATAATAGTGATAAGACTGGGCGGGTCTGCACCGTCGTTGTGTCCTCGTATTCGTGATCTGTGGGTGTTGCCGAAGAACAAAGTTTTTGTGCCAGTCTGTGATACAGAAGGCTTGAAAATGCCTTGCAAAGTCAGGAAATTGTTACAAAGTGTCAGGTTTAAGTTTTTAGTTTACGATACCGTACGGTTGTGTGTTGTCCGATGTAAATGTAAGTTTACAACAGTACAGTTGTGTGTTGTCTGATGTAAATATAAGTTTACAACAGTACAGTTGTGTGTTGTCCGATGTAAATGTAAGTTTACAACAGTACAGTTGTGTGTTGTCCGATGTAAATGTAAGTTTACAACAGTACAGTTGTGTGTTGTCTGATGTAAATGTAAGTTTACAACAGTACAGTTGTGTGTTGTCCGATGTAAATGTAAGTTTACAATAGTACAGTTGTGTGTTGTCCGATGTAAATGTAAGTTTACAACAGTACAGTTGTGTGTTGTCTGATGTAAATGTAAATTTACAACAGTACAGTTGTGTGTTGTCTGATGTAAATGTAAGTTTGTGTGTTGTCTGATGTAAATGTAAGTTTACAACAGTACAGTTGTGTGTTGTCTGATGTAAATGTAAGTTTACAACAGTACAGTTGTGTGTTGTCTGATGTAAATGTAAGTTTACAACAGTACAGTTGTGTGTTGTCTGATGTAAATGTAAGTTTACAGTACAGTTGTGTGTTGTCTGATGTAAGTTTACAACAGTACAGTTGTGTGTTGTCTGATGTAAGTTTACAGTACAGTTGTGTGTTGTCCAATGTTAGTTACCAGTAACGTTGAGTGCTGTCTGATAAAAGTATACAGTACAATTGAGTGTGAAATGTACAGTTCCCATCTAGAGTTATGTCTGGAAAGTGTTCTTTGGAAGTTTTCCTGGAATGGGAACAGAGCTGGATCCAATTGTCAGTTATAACATTAGCTTTAATTTAATTAAAGTAATTTTTTTTCTGGTTTCTTGATCTAGTGAAAAATACCTGTTACAGTTTTGGAATCTCGGTATAGCAGTGTTTTGTGTTGTGGAAATCCAATTTTTGAGACATTTTAACTTTTGCTGAAGTTGTAGTGAGGTTGACAGCGGTAAGCAATTGGTTTGGTTTTTTTTTCAAAATCTATTTTAAGTAAGCTAGCTGTGCTGGGGTGGACTGCTCGTTTCCGAGATTTTATTACGGGGTTTGTTCATACTGTTGTTATTGTTACTGTTTCCTCATGAAATTCATTCTGAAAGTTGTAAGAATTAAAGGTGAACATTACATGTCAATGCATGTAGCCTCGTAGAGGCCTATCTTGTTCAGCTTCATACCGTACAGAGTTTCTCTTTGGAAAAGGTATGTGTAGATTTTATAAATAGAAAAAAGCAGCTGATATAGTTTAATTGAATAATTTGTGCTGCTGGTTTTGTGCAAAATGATGCTGACTCTTTTTTCTTTCTTTTGATGAACCACTCCACCCCCCACCCCCATGTGTGTGTGTGTGTGTGTGTGTGTGTGTGTGTGTGTGTGTGTGTGTGTGTTTGAATGTTCGAATGTGATTGTTATTATGTGCACGAATATAATGGCATTTGCTTGATTCTAAAGATAGGTAGGCTGACTTAAATCATCAATATAAATCTATTTCACGTTGTTAAGAGTCAGGAAATGTTTCCATTTGGTGGAGTCACAGAAAATAACTCTATGCTATCTTTCACTTTTTGCACGCTGGAAAAATTGTAAGAAATGTGACATCTTTTCGTATCCGAATGTAACAGTTGTAAGCACAGTTTAGATATTGACCATGATGTACGGAAGTAGTAATGTGCTAGTTGTTGAGGTTATTTTGACTGCTCAGTGGAAGACTCAGTCATACGTCACTTTTCAAAACCTAGTAAGACTCAGTCTAATATGTCACTTTTCAAAACCTAGACTCAGTCATATGTCACTTTTCAAAATTTAGTTAGACTCAGTCATACTTCACTTTTCAAAACCTAGTAAGACTCAGTCTCATGAGTCATATATATATGTCACTTTTCATCACTTAGTAAGACTGTCGTACGTCACTTTTCATCACTTAGTAAGACTGTAAAATGTCACTTTTCAACACCAAGTAAGATTCAGTCTCATATGTCACTTTTCAAAACCTAGTAAGACTCAGTCTCGTACGTTACTTTTCAACACTCTTAAGACTCAGTCTCATACGTTACTTTTCAACACTCTTAAGACTCAGTCTCGTACGTTACTTTTCAACACTTAGTGGTGGAGTCTTACACTAAGCAGTTGATTTGAGAATGCCAGAGAACTGTTCCGAGGACCCTAGTGATATGTGTTAGTAAGTTAGTGTTATGATTCTCTCGTGTCTCGACAGCGATAGTCAGATGAATGCTGTTGAGATATTATTATTATTGGATAATACCAATGCCATTGTAGTATTTTAGACTAAAGGCTTTTATTTATCAGTTTCCCATAATGTTCTTTACAGCATTGTGACTGTACTGTTGAACCCCGACTGTCCCTGTACACCTAGGCAGAAAAGTTCTCTGCTGTAGTTTGTTTGCTCCTTCTGTTCTTTCCTAGCAAACATTTATCGTCCTTTATCTCAAGCTCTCCTACTTCTATTGTGTGTTTGTGACTCTCCTGTAATACGCGGTACCCACTACGGCTGGATCGGGCCGGTCGCCTGACTTGGTCGCCTGAAACTGAAAACAAACACGTTTGTTTTTAAGGCTCTCAATCGGCTGATCCCATGCCTAGTGGTACCCTGTATAACACCTCTAAACTTCAGCACTTATTTTACAGGATCTTGTTGTAAGTGCCATTAAAAACACTTACTGAAAACTAAAGCTTTTTTTCTCCCCTCTTGATTCCGTTTTTTTCCCCCCCCCACCTCTCTCCGCTGAATATGCGTCCCAATTGTTGGCAAGACCAGTTTCCATGTTGCTTGAGAAATCTTGTATTGGCATTTTGTACCTACATTATATTTAAGTCAAATACATTTTTTATCAATACAAGAATTTTCTTTATTTCATTACTCTCATTGTGATTGTGTGTGTCTGGAATGTCGGTTAGTGGGACAGTAAGTCACAGGAGTCTCCACTTAAAACTGATCATGGTTGATTTGAAAACAGTGGTAAACCGATAAAAAAAAAATTCCCGATTCTTATTTCCTTCTTCTCCGGCAACCTTTCTGAACTGAAAACCCCGCTAAAGTAAAAGAAAATCCGGCGGTTCTGCGGATTTTTGTTTAACGCTTTACCGCCTCCTCTGGCCGATCCGCGATGTTTGCCTCCCAGTTTCTTTGAATTTTCCCCGCGAGTTTTTACTATATATGAGCCTTGTGATGGTAGAGTGTTAAGCAGACTCCACTACTGTCAGTTGTGTTTGAGAAAGGAAGGGAGAGTTTTTCTTTACTTAAACATTACATTCCTTCTAAAGCACTAGTGTATGGCCTCACAATTTTCAACGAAAACAATATATAGTGTTTGTAAAGAGCAAATTCTAGCTCAACTGCAAGCTTCATGCGTTTTACAATCTATACGTGAGGCATCATTGTGAAATCAGGCGCTCGTCAAAATAGTGAAATTGAAGAAACTGTCATTTTTCTGACAGTTCGGCATTTTTATAGAATTTTTGTTTTTCGGCTCTACACCTTTCATTATTCAGGTAAAAACACATTTCTCTGTGGATTTTACTGAAAATTGACTAAAGACACAAAAAAGTAAATTTACAGTTACCAATGACTCTCAAGCTCTTGAAGCCATCAAACATTGGCTGCCATTTTCTCACAAATTTTACTCCTGAAACCTGACAACCCCCACATCCTTCAATCGCAAATTCTAGACTTCTATTCAAGATATATATATGGGTATTTTTTGCACCAACAGCAAGACAAATACAAAAGCTTTTAGATGATGTCAATAATTCCACATGCCCAAAAATTGATGAGCACCTGATTCCACCACGTCGTGACACATATTACTCTAGCAGACCTGATAACATTCTGAGACGTTCTCAACTCTCTGAGACTAGCTGCCATTTTTCAAGCGCTGAAACACTAAAAATACTGACAATATCTTTCACTGTCTATGGGTGGGTGTCAACATTTGTGTGCCTGACTGTCCCCAAGGACACAACAGTGAGCCGAGCCTTGAGCCCCTGAACCCTCAACTTCACTTGGTTGCCTAACCACATCATAAAACTACCACTTTTGAAGGGCCTGCCTTTATAAAAAAATTTTTGCAGGTGGTTGAAATGTGCCACTGTTCGGTAGGTCCCAGTTCTTTCCTTTCTGTGTCATTTCTTTGTCTTTATTCTTTCCATTTAATAAATGATCGGATCAAGCGGGTAGAATGCTCTGGTGTGGTTTGCTCCTTCTTCCCTATCAAACATCTATCGTCCTTATCTCTCTCCAACTCCTTTTGTGTAACACCTTGTAACACCTCTAATCTTTGGCACTTGCACGAACTTATTCTGTTGCAAGTGCCGTAAAACTCTGACTAAAACTAAAAAGATAAGATCATGACAACGAACTTCTCTTAATTTTAAACACTTTTTGAAGTATGAAGTCTGTCAAAAGCAGACGTGGGTACAATTCTTGTGTGGGAAAGTTTTGTATCAAACATCTCCGTCTGTCTGCTGAGATATTGTCCCCCCACTCAGCATCAGTTGACCTTGACAGAGTCGAAGCAGCCCGCCTCTTAAATAATCCAAATTGTGTCTATGGGTGCATAAAACATTACAATAATTACACATAATCCGTGTGGAGGAAACTTGAGTCAAAAGCTTATTGGATCAAGTAACCAATCCATGATCTTGTCTACACTACTACACACATATAGAAGAAACACAACAAGGCAAAAGTCTGCGTCTGTAGCTATCTGTAATTTATTTCTACATGACAAGATATTTCATCGCGAGGTAAAACATTTTACAAAAAAAAAAAAGCTGTTACCATGAAACAGCACATTACATAATAATTCATAATATGCATGAGAAACCACAGCGAAAACACAGAGAACATACAGTCATGGCCGAGAGACTGAGGCGAGCCGTCTCCTTGGCGCTAAAACACACCACACCGATCGATGGAGAGACTGAGGCGAGCCGTCTCCTTGGCGCTAAAACACACCACACCGATCGATGGAGAGATGGGCGACAATAACCACTACTTCTACAATGAGAGTGAGTGAGGAACATCTTTGCAAAACTTCTACACACTGACGGAACAACAGGACATAGAAAGACATATCTAGCTAGGTCTATGTGAGGAAAAGGGAAAAGGAATCTTTTGCCAAGTCTGAGAACTAACTCCACAGACAGAGAAAAAGAAGCAAGACTTATGACAACATACGACCTCCCCAAAGCTATTGTGTGTCTGCACTTCGTGTTGAGCTCATTCTATATATATAAATATAGAATAAATTACGGAAAATTACCCCATGCTTGAGTTTACAAACAATTATCCCCGATACCCTTTTTTCTCTCCCAAAAGTAAAGTCTGAAGTCGCTTTCTTGCTGAGTAAAACCCCAAAGCCAACTACAAACTCCTTGAAACCCCTATATACCACAGCTTGTCTTGTACAAGTAGTAGTTCAGTGATTTTCTCTCTTTGAAAACTACAAGCCCCAAAAAGAAACTGGATAGATTTATATAATTTTATATAAGCTCTCCATTTCTAATGTACCGTAGGTGTTTTACATCCCCATCCACACAATTTAGATAATTCAGGAAGCGGGCTTTGACCTGACCAGTCAGGGCTAACTAGAACTGAGAGGGACACACAGCATCCCAACAGAAAGACCCAATTTGCTAGACAAAAACTCTCTCCTCTCAGGAATCAAACTCGGGTCTTCTGCGTGCGATGGCGAAGTGCCTAACCGCTACACCACAGATCCTGGTGCTCTTTTCACTTCAGACAAAAAAGCTACCAAGTAACAGATCCAACAGAGGCTACACATTCAACAATCAGCTACACTAGAATTTAAAAAATACAGTCGAGCACGGACAACTCAAACACGTAGGGGATTGGCAAATTACGTGTTTGACATACATCTAAAGTGTTTGCCATACATCTATTATTTCGGGTATGGTAAACAGTTTAACGAAACATTAAAGAGATATCTAGTTGGGGAATGGCATATTGTAAGAGCTATCCCTGATTTCCAATTTTCTGTGTTTGTGTCATCAGTGCTGACTGTAGAATGCACATGAAAAATGCATAGATTTTTTTCCGACATCCCCAGTACTAGTGAAAGCTAGATGGAACAGTTGTTGAGAGCTTTGCATGAGAGTCAGGCAAAGTAAACAAAACACGAGAGTGTGGATCTCTCCAGAAAATTATTGACATGACAACGGTGAAGTGAACAGTCCTGTCTACAGCTCTCTCTCTCTCTCTCTCTCTCTATATATATATATACACACACACTAAATGCATATCAGCCCGACAAATGAAGAGATGTTCTAACCACACATTCTTGTTTTGGCTTCAATAAAAACATGCAAGGCCATACCCACACATGAAGGAAAATACTGTAAAACACAGATTGCTTCGATGAAAATGTCTCAATTTAAAAAAAAAAAAATCACCAATCCCATGTTTCCTACAATGGTCAGCATGTAATGGAAACAGTCACTCCCTTAAGCCGTCACTTTCTTTCCTTACACAAAAGCATATTTAAAAAAATGTACTCTCGCTGAAATGGAATTTAATGCTGATTTGAAGCTCTCCACAGAGACAAAGACCGTGAAGATGCGAGCGTCTTTGGCTTCTCTGAACTCATTATCTAGTCACCACATAATGAACGGCCAGTGTAAGATTCTGTCACATGTCACTTTTCAAAATGGTTCACGCCGCAGTCTTCTACAAAACTGCCGATAAGAGCTCCAGTGTGAATGTGAACAGAAGGACCATTATGGTAGAAAGTCTGCGAACCTCCCCCTCTCTTCCCCCATATCATAGACAAGTGAACAAAAGAAGCCTGTCCCTGTTCCTCTCTGTAAGTCATGTGTGGAAAATCAGGGGGAGGGGAAGGCGCCAAATTAGGAAACGCGCAAGCAGTCAGTTTTAATGGGAGAAAACGCTTTGTTCAAACATTTTTATAGGTGAAAAATTAGAAGTCATTCTTCCATAATTAAAAATACTGTACCAAAGTGTACTTAACCCCCTTGTCAGATCTGTGAATTAAAAAAAAAAGATATTAAAATAAATAGAAGCATAATTAAGAACGTCGTTAGCGTAGCAAGGAAAGACAACGACAGATGTGCACAGTGGTCAAAGTGGCAAATAACGACAAACCTACTACCGTACCAGTGCAGATTTCTGCATAGAACCCAGACAAAAATGTGCAGCTCGGTGAAAAAGACGGGTAAAATAAAGCAGTACATCTAGTAGAGCCCCGAGAGTCGGGAAATAGGAAACATCAGCATAAACAATCAAAACACTTGTCATGGCAGAAAATTCCATCATATCAAGGTACAATGTACAAAATGAGAACAACCAAAAACAATTGCTACAAAACGTAGCAACAGATCTGACATAATACGGTAAAAAAAAAAGAAAACTGCATAGACTTCTTCTCCATGAGAGTGAGGACTAGACTCGCGTCAGACAGGCATCTACAGCTCCAGGACGGAGCTACACGGCAACAGAACACCAGAGAACACTTTCCTAGGAACAGACGACAGGGGAAAGAAAGTGAGGTGGTCTGGGGATTTCATCATCAAAAGTTCCATTCAACGTCAAGCTATTAAAAAATCTCAGGTATAACGAGAAATATCCTCATTGTCATTGAAAAAATGAGTAACTGCACCCGTTCTGACCCCACTTATTTAAAGTAGGGCGAGTTTGAAGAATATCGGAGTTACTCACTTTTTCTTTTTTCTTTTTCGACAGCGACGTTATGAAAGAGTATACAGAGCTGCCATATCTAACAAATGATACATAGACATGAATGCATTAGAACTAGCGAAGACACACATTGAACAGGTCTGTACAAACTGACCAGCAAACAGTGGACCACAGTCAGTCGGGAACCCTCACACAGCTATTCCCCGCTCAAAGACGACTCATAGCCTCAAAGACTACATGTCAAAATATTCTATCTTCACAGAAATTTGAAAAAAGACTGAAAAGCCCTTTCATCTTAAGCAATAGAGCTACCTGGAATGAAAGGTTTTTATTCCAATTGGGCATTTTCTGGTTCAATTTTGAATCTGAACTTACTTACAGGAAAATAAAAGAAGGATCATGCCAGTGGCAGAAAAAGTAATGGGTCAATTTCAAATGTAGAGAAAAGAGGACGTAAAACGCTAGCCTTCAAAGAAGAGCGAGGGAAGAGACCAGGATGAGACAGACAGATATTGGCCAAGTGCGGGTAACATTCACTTAACACAGTCAAGTATAACAGATATAGCAAAACATTGACACCTTCAGCCGTCCCCTTCTGGGACATACTCTACAAAGACTACAAAGGCAAGTCACTTGTGCTGCTTTCTACTCCATCCTCAATTCATTCCTTAAAGATGAATGAAAAGAAAATGTACACAGTTTAAGTTTAGATTTAGTAAAAGTTTCACGACACTTGCTACACAAATAGATCATGCAAGTGCTGAAGATTAGCCTAGGGTGGCCAGACTGCATGACAATGGTCACATTTCCCCTGGAACTTTAATTTGAGTAAAGAGAAGCTCATCAGTGTTATAACAATCAATAACAGCTTTGAAAAAAAACCCCAGACAGACAGACAGACAGACAGACAGACAGACAGACAGACAGACAGACAGACAGACAGACAGACAGAAAGAATCAGGGGAAAGACAAGAAGTAGGACCCACCAGTAGCATCCTCCAACCACCCACTCATCAGTACAGACTAAAACGTAGCGACAGAGAACAGAAGTGGAAGAGACACTCTGAGACAGAACAACACGCCAGGGTTCTCACGACAATCTAACTCAGTGGTTGAAACACAAGGCGTCCACAGAGAAATACACACAGGATGGCCGGCCCACCCAAGCATGGCGTGAAGATAAAACTGCAAGATAGTCAAAAGTGTCATGGCAAACTCTCCAGTTGTTCCATCATCAAGCACATGTACAGTTTAGTTTCAGTAAAAGTTTTACGGCATTTGCAAAACAATAATGTCATATATAAGTGTCGAAGATCATAGGTGTTATAAGAGAGTAACAAACACAGAAAAGAAGTAGGAGAGATCAGGACGATAGATATTTGATAGGAAAAAAGGAGCAAACCACACTAGAGCACCCGCCAACCAACCTCATATATGTATAGTTATCGTGGTGAGCACAAAAAAAAAAGCCGAAGAGGCTCAATAAATAACGACATTAGCGACCCTAACCAAATTACCAAATTAGAAACACACAAGGGAAGACGGGGGGGGAATGAAAGAGAGAATGAGAGCAGTACCGTCAAAGTACAGACGAACCTGCTCTGACTGCCACCTGTCCAAGACAACCACGCACAACCTGTACAAAGGACCTCTTCTCACTTCCCCCTTGCTCTTTTTCTACACCACAGCTACAGATATATATATATATAGATATAGATATAGATAGATATATATATATATATATATATATATATATATATATATATATATATATATATCTCTGTATAATATAATTGTTTAGCTCTCAAGTCCAGTATCAGCTCTTAGAAACTTTTTTACAGTTTGTTTTCAGTTAGAAAAGCAGATCTATAGGGGGGGGGGTGGGAGTAGAATGAAATAAAATGTCACAGCTTTCTGATCCGTGCACTTTGAATTTAGGCCGAGAGAATGGGACAAACTTGTACACAACTCAATACATTCACAATACGAGGTACACTTTCAGGTACAGGTACCCACAGGAACAGACAAAAGTTTTCCTGCCACTAAGACAAGTGGTTATCTAAAGGAACAGACTCACTTCTACTTCTACATCTACTATGCCCCACATCAAACAGAATACAGCGGAATGGATACAGAGATAAATTATGGCAAATCATAAAGAAATGAACAAAACAACAAAGCAAATCATTGACCAGTTGGTCAGATGTACTAAGCCCAAAATTTTGATTAAAAAAAAAAAAAAATTGCATCAGCCCAAAATAAAAAATTAAGGTCCTTTCTTTTTTCCCCAGTAAATTAACTCTTTATCTGTGTCGGCGACAGCGGCTTGGGCACATTCCTTTACGGCGACTTCGACATTAAATTACATTTCGGCAATTGCCGAAAACAGGTCTGTTTTACAGGAAGTTCATTCATTAGATGAAGGACTATCAAAATAGGTTTGCTAGTTTCGATTTAATGACGCTTTTGTCATTTTTAGATTTTCACCAAAAACAGGCCCTGGCATAGTGGATTTACCGCCCTCGGAGATAAAAGAGTTAATACGTGGTATTGGTTGCATGTGCTCCAAAAATATTTTGTCCGAATTAAAATTCCAAATGTGAAAAAAAAAGAAAAGTAACAAAAGACTCACGCTTCAAGAAAGAAGCAGCTTTTTCTCTCTCCTGACACAATTGTGCTCTGTGAGCTCAGTACACTTGACTAGCTCGCTGACAAAGTTTGACCGTCAGACGTCTCCACGGCCGGCCCAGGACTGGGATTGTCCTACACACCAGCACCCAACAAGACCTGTGTTCTGAGAACATACTGGAACAACCAGACATCAATTATATATATATATATGTATAAATATTATATACACAATACAGTCTAGCACGCACATAGTGAACACCGTGTTAGCGAAAAAAACGCATATAACCAACAGATTTTCAAATCCAGAATTGTTTCTCACACATGTGTATACATATAGGCCTAATTCGTACATAGTTAACAGACTTCTGTATCCCACCGATTTCACTATGTTGGTACTAGACTGTACAGTTAAATGCACCTCTTGAAGTCAGTTCTGTAAAAGATATTCATTTCTGAACAGAAAAAACAAAACAAAAAAATCCTCAGCATCTAACCTTCTGCATTCTCAAGACTAAATTACTAAACAAAAAAAACAACAAACAAACAAAAAAAACCCTGATGAAAAACACCCAAACCATTGGGCAATATACATTTTATCATGTCTGTACCAGTCTTCCTCATTTTAGGCACATCTGCTTTTCTAAAACAAAGCAAAATATGGGTAGTTCAAACGCAATATAAAGAGTACCCCCAGTCACAGCCTTGTGATAGCAACGACATCACGAGAAACCAGCCACTAAAATATCGGGAGAACTCAAAAGGTAAAAACATCCATCAGATCTCATCTCGCTGCTCACATCTCTGAGCACAACACAAGTTTACCAGTATAGGACCCCAGCCTCCACCCACTCATTCAAAGCTTTGACAGGTGTACACAATCTCAGGCATCCTGCACACTCCCATCTGAACACGCTCACTTACTAAACAGCCAGGTACAAGGCGCACCACACAGTAACAAATATAAGCCCACACATTACTCACTTTCTCACTTACAAAAGGTCTAAACAACCTGAGACGTGCAAGTTATAATGAAACTTTTCGTCCAGAATATACCATCAACACTTAGGCAGACAGTCAAAAAACCCAAATGCGTGGCCACAGAATGAAAATAAGAGACACAACATATCAAATTCAGATAGTCGAACAAAATCAATCTGCTTGAAAATAAAAAAGATGCACTTTTGTACAGAATCGCGTACACCTTTTTCCTTGTCAAAGACTAGACAGACACAATGAGAGGACTGCAAACAGTGACGACTGCTAGTACATGTATGTTTATCAGTCTGTTCGCTGCTCAACTTCCTCCTTCTGGCCAAATGTCAGGGAAGTAGAATGTGATGAAGATTGAGCAAAGAGAAGCATATTGAATTGACACAATAACAGAAAGGGGAAAAGAGACAGAGAGAAACAACAGAGTGGAAAGAAATGAAGTAGGACCTCTATCAGTGGCGTCCTCCAATCATCCACACAGTAGAATGTGTCATTTAGTTTTAGTTTCAGATAGAGTTTTATGGCACTCGCAACTGCATAAGGTCATATGAGCGCCAGAAGATTAGAGGTGTTACAGGAGAGTAACAAATATAAAAAAGAAGAAGGGGAGATAAGGACGATAGATGTTTGATAGGAAAGAAGGAGCAACTGACGAGGACAGTTTCATGGTACAAGCTACAGACAAAATACAAACTAGAATCTACGTTAGCCTTTCTTTTGTGTGTTTGAGTAAAGAGAAGAACACATGAACACAACAATGGCCAATTAGTGCTGGGAAAGTGGAAAGGAAAAGGTAAGACAGGCAACCAGAAATAACCATAGGGGGGGGAAGAAAAGAGGTCGGACATACTAGCAGCACCCTCCAACAGCCTTGCCTGCCACATCATCTGTTTAGAATGGAGACGACAGGACACAAGCTAAACACAGCTGTATAATTCATCAAAGAGAATACCAGAAAAAAAAGTTGTATAAAATACAGATCAGGATGAGAAGATAAAGAACAAAGAGTAAATGCAAAGGCAAAAAAAATATTTAAAAAGTTAACTGTTGAAACTACTGAACCAGTTCTCAGATCTGAAGACCGTACTTTTTACCATAAAATACACATTGGGACATACAAAAATAATGAACACTGCACTGAGTAAATGCAAAGAAAAAAAAAAAGGTAACTGTTGAAACAATAAAAAACAGTTCTCAGATCTGAAAGGAATACTCTCTCACATAAAATACAGATCAGCGGTACAGCCACCTCAGGCCAGTTTACAATGGAAATAAAAACAACAACATCAAAAGGCAAAACCAAATGTCCAGGTGGAGTGAAGATAGAGAAACAAACTTGCATTTTTCATCTGTAGGTAAGCTACAAACACCAACCAATGTGTGCGCACACACACACACACACACACACACACACACACACACACACACACACATTTTGGAATGTGTACAACTTACATAGAATCAAGACCGGAGGGTTTCTTTGCACATCATCACAGCCTGACACAACATCATCCTAACCAGACTGGATCATCATCAAAACTCCACAGACTCTCAACCACACTTGCACACATCCATCACATCTGCCATCAGTAGACGCACATAGCAGAATAAGTTATAGTCGCAGTCTATGCCTTAGCAAAAACAGCTTTTCACATCTCTGACATGCCTTACCAGAATGTCTCTTTACCCCCCCCCCCTGCCCCTTCCAACTCCCTCCAAACTCAATTTTAAAAAGATGAACAGAACAAGCAAAACAACACCTAAAAGTAAAAAAAAATCAGTGTCATCCTAATTTCAGATTTTTAAAACTTTCTGGTCAGGATATGGGCTTCATAAAAAAAAGAAACGTTCATCCAGAAATTTCAGGAAGTAGGAAAATTACCTCATAACAAATTCACAGCCCAAGACGCACTCTTTTAAAAAAATTTTTTTTTAGCAGAGGGTTTTACGGCGCTCGCAACTGCACAAGGTCATATGAGTGCCAAGGGGTGGGTGTCAACAGAGAAATCCTTACACGAAATCAGACTTACTCTGCTCACCTCTCTAGATTCAACAGCACAAAGTCTGCTTCGACTATCAAGAGACACACACTCGCTTCAGTCACTTCTTCCAATATCATAGCACAGGGCACCAGGTCAGTGATGGAACAACAACCCTGCACCACCAATACGACACACGTACACAGTCTACCACGGCGCTAACACACAAACTACACACTTAGAGCTGGAACACACCTCATGTACAGCTCTTAACACACCAGTGCATGGCTCTACAAACACAGGTACAATGCCTTCTAACAAACTAGGACACACACCATGGAAGCATCTAGGTGAGAATCTGTCTCTAAAACCTTTCTAAACACTTGAGTAGCTACATGGGGGGGGGGGGGGGGGGGGGGGACGACCCTTCACATTGGAACCTTCCCTAAGTTTTCTCTCAGACAGTCTGTATTAAGTTTTCTCTCAGACTGTCTGTATCCTACAACAGTTCCTCAGCAATTTGATTAGCAACCAAAACAAAGCCATCTTTTATACAACCTGATTAATTGTGGACGGTCTGAAATAGACAAAGTCACATTCTAAGTTTCCAATTTCATTTTTGCAACCGTTAACTTCTGTGTAACAACTTTCTCAGAGCCTCTTGAAAGTTTTAACTCTGAAAATTACGGTGCAGTACCACTGCAAGATATAGCCCTCTAGGATTTTGTAGTTATTGGACTCAAAGTTTGTCATTTTTTTTCTTCTCTTCCTCATCCCCATTGTGGAAAAGTCTTCCCTGAAAAACGGGAAATCACTCAAAAAAATTCTCGCACCGCCTCTCACACAGCACCCCCTCCGAGGACAAAAGCTACCCATGAAGCAACCACAAACTAACAACCCACAGGGACACCCTTCCACCCTCCCGCAACGTTCCACACAGAGTTCTGGAGGTAGCCTCGATTGCCCACCAACGCGTCCGTCAAACAGCGAGGTCAGCGGTAGGTGAGAGTTGGACATCTCGTGCCCAGTCACGCTGGAGGTAAAAACACCATGATTGAGGTACGGCAGACAGCCAGCCAAGCTGCAACAACAGCAACAACAAGAACAACATATGCTCAGCCTGAAAATGTCACAGCCAATCTCGTAATAACCAAAGAATGAGCAAACGTATTATGCAGGCACATATACATATTTATATGCAAGTGCGCACATACGTAATCCAACATGAGCACCGAGCTTATACGGTGTCTACATCAACATTTGTGAGGTGAAAACAGCTGCTGCAGCACAATTATAGAACTGATCCTTTCTCAGAATTCGATAGAAGGCCACACAGCCCTTTCCTTCACCGCACTCTTCCTCAGCATCCCGAAGAGCTGCCTTTGTCTTACTCTCAAACAGGAAGACAAAATACACACAGGAAGCGGAGACTCAAAGGAGGCCAAACCCTCATTCCCTCATGAATTCAAAGTAGGTGGAGGAGCATTAAAAGCCCTTATTCTTCACACTTGAACAGAAAGCCCCCTCTCCCACTTTGAACGGACAAACCAAATCTTTCCTCTCCTCCATATTGCACAAAAATCTCTTGCTCAAACCCTGCTGCCTGCCCCTTCCACATCGGGTCAACAATCCTGCCTGCAACAGACGAGCCACCCCTCCCAAATCAGATTGGCGACACCTCTCAAACAAATCTTCCCACGTCCGACCAAAGGCTTGACACCTCAAATAAGACCAAAGACTTCCTAAATCATACCAGGGATCATATTGGAGACTCGGAGACTCCTCCCACATCATATCGGAGATTTCTCCCACATCATACAAGAGACTCCTTCCATATCATATAAGAGACTCCTCCCACATCATATAAGAGACTCCTCCCACATCATATAAGAGACTCCTCCCACATCATATAAGAGACTCCTCCCATATCATATAAGAGACTCCTCCCACATCATATAAGAGACTCCTCCCACATCATACAAGAGACTCTTCCCACATCATATAAGAGACTCCTTCCACATCATATAAGAGACTCCTCCCCCATCATATAAGAGACTCCTCCTACATCATACAAGAGACTCCTCCCCTTCCTCCCAATCATCATCCGTGTCCTCATTGAAACAAAGCGGTTTCTTGTCTCCAGCCCCGCGATGTCGCGTCAGAGACGAGGCGCCGACGGCTTTGTGCTGAGCACCGTGGCTCTGGCCGGGCGACTGTGGCTGGGGTCTGTGCTGGGGGGACGGCTGATGTCGATGAGCGTACGGCTGGGCGGGGTGGGGAGTGGGTTGGGAGTGGTACAGCTGTGCAGGAGGGGCTTTCACAGGAGTGGAGGGGTAGGAAGAGGAGGAGGAGGGGGAGGAGTGTAGCCGGTCCATGGCACTCTGGTTCTGCCTGGCCATCTCAGTCTGCACGTACAGCAACAGCTTTTCTTTCAAATCCAAGGCGGAGGTGGACTCCTTGGCCTTCTCTTGTTGACCCAACGGGAACAAGCCGAGACTTGCCAGGTCGAGGTCAAGGTCTCGCTGTGAGAACGCCAAAGTCTGAGGGGGGGCAGCTGCTGAGGTCCGGGGAATGCCGTGGCTGCTGCTGCTGCTATTCAGGGAGGACTGTTGTTGATGCTGCTGCTGTTGCCTCTGGTGCTGCTGCAGCATCTGCTGGTGGTGGTACTGGTGCTGCTGGAGCTGATGCAGCTGGTGAATCTCTTCCAGGGAGTGCTGCTGGTACGGACTGGGCTGTGAGGACTGAGGAGGGAGGCGTGGGGCGACCGTCGTCACAGACGCCATAGTCAACTGTGAGTTCTGTCGGCCATGGGGAGGGGTGAGCCGCAACTGCTGCTGCTGCTGTAGCTGCCATCTCATCTGCTGCTGTTGCTGAAACTGCTGCTGCTGAATGCAGTCGCTGTTCACTCGCCAGCTGAGCTCTCCCTCTGTGGTCGCGGGCTGGTCTAGTCTGTTGGGCAAAGACTTGTGTCGGAGGATCGGGCTGATGCGCTGGTGGGCAGGGAGGGTTGGGGCCGCGAGCCCGTCGCTGCTCAGGGTGACCTCTGCCAGGTCGGAGCTTGGGGAACTGTCCAGACTGGGGAACACCAGGCTGTCCTGGCTGAGGGAGATGTGTGGCTGGGGCAGCAGTGGCTGCTGGGCGGAATGCTGCTGCTGCTGTTGTTGTTGTTGCTGTTGTTGGCTGATGATGGTGGTGGTGGTGGTGATGGATGGAGGAGTAAAGGGCTGGCCATCTGCCTCTGATCTCTCACTACGACCGTTGGTGAAACGAACTCGCTTCTCGTACTGGGGACAGAGGAAGCAGGAATCATTTCAGAGATTCAAACGTCCGGCACAATACAGACATACACTCCAAGAAAAATCTAGCTGAACAACAGGCTTTATGTTATTTTGACGCCCACTGGCATCAAAGTCAGTAAAAGCACACGCTCTTTATAATAACATGCCACAACTTAACCCTTTGAGCCTAGACCTCCTGAGGCTACCATGCCTCTCTGACTGTAATCCTGAGCTATTCACGCCTATATTTCTCTCACATTTATATTGTCATCAAAATCACATTCCATATCCCACTCAAGGTAGTCCTCGTCATTACCAGCATTTAATTCGGAAAGATAAAAAAAATAATCAATAACGTCCTGTATAGTAAACACTGTTCTCTGTGCGCATTTTGTCCCGCACACGGGGGGGCGCAGCAGACTTTAGGGATGGGGTCTCACTCACTGTTGTATCGATGGCAAGGCATACAGGCAATCTTACGTGCTCCCAGTGTACCGGTGGCTAGGCATACAGGCAATCTTACGCGCTCCCCGTGTACTGGTGGCTAGGCATACAGGCAATCTTACGTGCTCCCAGTGTACCGGTGGCTAGGCATACAGGCAATCTTACGCGCTCCTGGTGTATCGGTGGCTAGGCATACAGGCAATCTTACGTGCTCCCGGTGTACCGGTGGCTAGGCATACAGGCAATCTTACGCGCTCCCAGTGTACCGGTGGCTAGGGCTCAAAGGGTTAAGCATACACATGCACTGGCTCTTTGATCAACTCACAGAATGCTCTTAAACATGCTGGGACTTTGTGTCAGACATGCACTCACAATAATAAATAGCATTTGTATTGAGCTTTGAAATTATATTTTATATACAAATGCTCTTTATTTATTTATTCATGACATTCATTTATTTATTTACTTATTCATTCATGTATTCTAAACACGGTGCGGCACAATTCTTTTGCAGGTGCTGAGAACTCATTAGATATCCAGGGACTACTCTAGAAATTATGGGAGTGTCTTGTCCTTTGTTAGGTGCTCTTAAATTATTCGCATACCGACTCGCTTCTGTAGAATTATTGAAATTGTGACTGGAGGGGGAAGGGGAATAGATGTAAAGCAAATATCACCCTGAACTATTTGTTTGAGAGAAAAAGGAAAACTGCAAACAGAATTAAATACAAGCTCAAAGTCATGACACATATCCACTTTAAAAAAAACAAACTCAGAAAATTACGGGTCTATTTAACAGACCAACTTAATGTGAAAAGGAAACAGACATAACTTCATCAAGCACATCATGTGCTTAAAATCAAATGTGAACTGAGAACATTCTAATATTCAGGGGAAAAAAACCAATTGCATGCGAAAGACAGTGTCAAAACGAAACAGGCATGAAAACTTTCAGCTGCATCCACGGAGGGTGAAAAAATTCGTAAGAGACAAGAGTGACAAGCAGAAGAAGAGAAGCGGTCATTTCGCTTGCATGAGAAGGGAGCCAAGAGAGAACAAAAATCTCCCCCCTCCCCATGCTATTAGTAAAATTTAGTGAGAGACAGAAAAGAAAAAAAAAGCAATTAGTAAAATTTAGTGAAAGACAAGATTGAAACAAAGCTATAAAGTCCCAGATAAGCAAGAAGTGTTAGTGGGCATGTAAAATTGAAAGATTGGGGGGAAAAAGACTAAAAGAGTCCACAAAAACTAAAGACTTTGATCTAGGGAGAAAGACTGCAAGCTAAAAATAAAAAATTAGGGCAACTACGAACTAAGATATAAAAGTTAAGTCACATAAACAGATTCTTCTTTATTTCCCCCTCTGCATCTAGTTACATATCCCTGAATCAAAACCACTGAAAGAGAAATGCTAATTCCACCCAACAAAATGGGGGGAATTTCTAAATCACGAAAAAAAGGCAAAAGTTCAATAGAACTAAGAGAAAAAAAAACAACAACAGCAAAAAAACAAACCAAATGAACCATCAATTCAATCTAGTAGTTTCAGAAAGAACTAGATCTAATACACATAATATTAGCACTACAAATCAGACAAATGATATTTAGCTTTTGAACTAAATAAAGGTCTGAACAAACTAAGACAAAAATAAAAAAACCCCGCAATGAGCCTTGAATTTTCCAAGCCAAACGATACTGTGTAAAAAAAAATACACCAAAAAAAACCAAACAGCCCTCGTGAAAAATAGCAAAACAAGAAAGAATCAAACAACAGCATGCCGATCGGCCACACGGTGGGTTGCAAGGAGTTAAAAATCCATGCAGGTCTACATCACAAGCTGTGGGTTAATAATAGTTTGTCTTTGTTACAGCAAATCTATGAGGTATGGACTTACCTTGTCTAACATTCACTCTGAGAGCATGGACAGGGAGGGAGAAAAACGCATTCTAGTCAGTATGGGACAGCATTATTATGCTACAAACACAAACACACACACATAATATCCTTTCTCACTGCATGGAGTGAGACGGAAAAAAAATGCATTCCTGTCAGTAGAGGGAGACACTATTATTCTATGAATACAAATAAATACATACATATAAAACGACTTAATATCCTTTTTCACAGCATGGACTGAGAGGGGAAAAATAATGCACTCATGTCAGTATTAGACTGCACTATTATTATACAAACACAAAGGAATACACAAGACACAAATACAAACTATGACTTTATAGCCATGCTAAACACAAAGAAATACACAAACACATACTATGACTTTCTAGCCATTCTCACAGCATGGAGTGAGATGGAACAAAAACACATTCTCCACCTCGTCAGTTTGGGAAAGCACAAGTATCGGAAACACCACGCACACATTCCCATGTGAATGCACGTGCACACTGTTGAAATAATACTCACTCATGTGAAAGTCAGGAAGTAAAAATGCATTCTGGTCAGTGGCACAGGGCAGTACGCACATGTCAAAACACACACACACACTCTAACACACAAACAATACACACACACACTCTCACACACAAACAATACACACACACACACTCACTCACACACACACACTCACACACACAACACAATAAGTCTCACAGGTGCACAGAAGACAGGTGAGCACATACATAAATCACCCCATCACATACACTTAACAATACGCAACACATGTCACACAAGCACACCACACATGTGAACAAGGACGCGCACAGACAAACAAAATATTCAGTTGCAAACAGTGCAAGCAACATGCACAGGGCAGGTAAAAAGTAGAGAAAACCCACACACAGACAAGACAATGGCCACTCAAGTTTCCTTTTAGTAACAGTTTTACAGCACTTGCAACACAATAAGTTCATCATATATAAGTGCTGAAGATTGGAGGTGTCACAAACGAGTAACAAACACAAACAAGAAGGAGGGGGAGATCAGGAAGGTAGACGTTCGATAGGAAAAAAAAGGAGCAAATCTCACTAGAGCACCTGCTAACCACCTGCAGAGGGGAGATAAGGATGGTAGACATTTGATAGGAAAGGAGCAGTAAACTGCATCAGAGCACCCTCCAACCATCCACAATGGTTACTTAGTTCTCGGAAAAAGAAAGAGAGACAGAAGTAAATCAAAGAGAGCTGGTAAAGAAGTGGCTCCCGCCAGTGGTGCTCTCAACACCCACCCACCCACCCACCTGGGCACGCACATCGCCAAACGACAGACAGACAGACTGATTGTCAAGACATGAGCACTGCTGTAAATACAAATTTAGCTTTTTTGAGTTTGAGTAAAAAAAACTAGCACATCGACACAATAATGGTCTTTTAGTGCTGGGACAAAGTAAGACACAGAAATATATATATTAAAAAAAATTTTAGTAGAGGGTTTTTCGGTGCTCCCAACAGCATAAGGTCATATGAGCGCCACGGGGCGGGTGTCAACAGAGAAGTCTTTACAGGGAATCAGACTTACTCTGCTCACCTCTCTAGCTTCAACAGCACAAGGTCTGCTTCAACTATCAAGGCACCCCAAAAATAGCAGGTCACAAGAGAGTGACAAACATACAAAAGAAGTAGAAGAAAACGACAATAGTAAGGATTAGGAAAGAAAAAGCAGCAGTTCCCTGTTGTAGATCAGGCAGTTATGAGCGTGACATGAGTCAGCCCATTTACAATTCTACTGTGCTTGAACGAGAAATGTCCCCCCTTTGGGAATGGCCTAAAGACACTACAGTCAGTGGCACTGCCCCGGGGGGTAGACAGACAGAAATGGTCATTTTTAGGCACAAAGGGGCTATCCTGAAAAATGTTGTTTTGAGAAAACGGAAGATAAAGTTTTTGCCCCTTGTTCAGTTTCTTTAAAAGACAAGGAGAATTTTCTCTATAACCAAATAAATATATACACACCAGTGAAACCAAACTTCTCCTGTAGGTAGAGCAATGCCCACTTTTGGCGTAGGTCAAGATTTCTGGTAACCCCCCAAATCTGGGTTAGCCTGCTTGTCCTTAAAAGCGACCAAATAACTGAGGGGAAAGTAAAGAAGTAGGACTCACCTGATCAGCAGTGGGCGTGGTGCTGTCCTCTCCGGGCGATGTGTCTGCCGGGCCAGACGGACCAAGGGACCACCGCACACAGCGACAGAGACGAGGAGCGTAAGTGTCGTCATAATGGAGGAGTGATTGGGGTGGTGGGGGCGGGTGCGTGGGTGGGTGGGCGGGCGGGAGGGACCATGGGGCAGGGCAGGGGGGATAAGAGGAGGAAAAAGAGAAAGGAAGAAAAGAGAAAAAAATATTAGCGTCATTTTCCCCCGATAACATCCAAATTATCCGAGTCTATCCGCTTCCACAGACTCTTGTCCCAGTCTGAGACTGGAGCCACGTCTAACAAACTCCTGAGGTTTACATCAGGAAAAGAAAACTGTACTTGAACTTCAATTGATTATTAAAACATTAAAACTTAAGGTGTCAGGGAGAAGCTTTTATTCATTCTTTTTGCTTGAACCAGTGAAGATCACCCCCACCCCACCCCCCTCCTCTCCCCAAATAATAAAATAAAATCTCACATTAAAAAAACCAAAACAAACAAACAAAAAACAACAACCAACAAACAAAGTTATCAACGTTGGGATATGTCCTAACCAATTATGCCAAAGACTCGCCATTTTCTGCATGCTCTTCATATATAACTCAAGTCTCACAAAATCTCAAGCAGACGTCTCTCATTATGATAGGAGCTATGGTACATCATCTTACTTAGCAACAAAACAACACACCACATCGTCACGCTCATTCAATAATTACATACCTCATTTTTTTTGGTGTTTTGAGAAAATAACAAAAACTTTTGCACTTACAAAACAGATACGACACAAATAGTTCTTCTAATAACTTTTTTTTTTTGGTTTAATAAAAATTCATAAGTTTAAACAACTTTTGACTGAAATCTGGGGAACAAATCAAATTATCTATAAGACGCCATAGCTCAGTTTGTCCTGAAAATGACTTACGTAATGATAAATTAAAAAAAAAAAACCCCCAAAAAACCCAGAGAGAGAGAGAGAGACAAAGGCAATTATGGAATGAGCGTGAGGACATGTTATCCACAAACTGTTACCAAGTCAAAGCTTTACCACAGAAACCTTGACTACCATCATACACATCATTGGCTAGCTATTTAAATGTACTAAGCCCAGACAGTAAAATATTTTAGGAAAGAGAAAAAAACAACTTTAATTCTTCTAGCAATTGTACCTACTTATATATGTGTTTTTTCTTACTTTTTTCCAAATTTAGAATTTGAATTTCGACCAAATATTTCTCCGGCTCACGCAACAAATACCAAAGATTAAAAAACTGCAATTAAAAGAAATATCAAAATTTTGGGCGTAATACATTTTCACAGATGGCCGGCGACATGTCTTTTGCTTCCCTGGTCATTGTGTAGGTTTAAGGCTCCTTTCAACTTTTCTAAACCATTAACACGATGCACGCACAAAGGCAAGTTAAAAAGTCAAGGGATAAATTGTAAAATGTCAAAAACAGCTCATTAATTAAAAGAACAATGCAAATGACCATGCCACTAATTAAAACAGTGTTGTTTCAAATATCAGAAACTGTTAAAAAAAATCTTTTTTTAAAAACAACTTTGTAATCTAAGGATTCACTGCTGATAAAAATCTTACACACTTTAAGGGAAATACTATATGGCAGTAAGAAATCTATTGTAAAAATGTCTAGCCAGTAGTAAACGTAGTACACGAGTTAGTCCAAAGATTATGTACAGAGTTACGGAAGAAAGAACAAAACCGCAAACACCTTTGGAGTTAGAGGTCAGAGTTGAAACAGGTCATCAAGCTCAGAGAAAAAAAGTCAGTTATTTGCTGCGGCCGGCGTAGGTATTAAGAACAGAGTGCTAGCTACCACAGCCAAACATTCCAGACACAACCACATGACACACATATACCTATCACTCAACATTGTTGTAGGTCAAAATTGTGAAAAATGAAAATGTAGCAGAGTTCGATGAGACACATCAATTAGTCCTAATCTAATTGCTCTTCTTAAAATAGTAACGGATTAAGACGAATTAAACATTTTGCGTTTTCTATTAAGATAATGCCCTGTTCGAAATAACAGTTTTTCCTTCATCTGTCTTACAAACCTCGTATTTCGACACACAACAATGAAGTTAGACACACAACAGACACACTGGCGCACCACCTGGCTGTGCAGTGCTAACTAGTTGTGAAATACCTCAACATGAGGTATACAGAAGTGTTTACTGAAACAATGTTTTCTACCAACTACTAAAAGAAAATGGAGCACAACATTTAAGCATTATCACTTTTCTATCTCACGTTTTCCCAAAGAGTTGTGTTCATAAATCTCATCTTCTACAGCTGCTCTTAAGCTTCATGCGAAGAGTAGTGTTCATAACAGTCCCATCTCTTAAGTCTGTACAAACTTCATGCACCCAAGTAGCATCAGAGGCAATACACAGAGACCGACAGTCAAAAGTGTACAATAAGTCGCTGCACCATTTCCTAGCAGTCCCAAGCTGTCTAAGATCCTCTAAAGCCAACTCTTCGCTAGCAAGCTATACACATCCATCGAAGGAAATTGTTAACTCCTCACAGCCTGAATCAGTCCAGTGACAGAATTAATAAGCAATGTTTGACCCATGATAAGAGATATACAACCTGTACTCTTTCATTATGAAAACTTTATTTAATGAAAGAGTGTTTTATATGATGTGATGTGGTCCAATGGACTTAAACACCGAATAAACTTTACTTACTTACTATCCATTGAGCTCATTCCTTACAAACTTCTGCACAGCTATGGCCAACAGACCATCCAACATGGGCGTACCTTTAGTCTACAAGACTAGCACGACTGACCTCCCATCAATAAATTTTCCTATCCACAATAATGTTTTTACAGAGATTCCTGTCTCTTAGCTTTAGCATAGGCTGACACTAGAAACATGAGCGTCTTCAAGGGCCAGGTCTAAAACAGACATCAGCAGTCGTGGTTCCCCACTCATTTATCAGCTTGGATAATCAATCTCCTTCGAGAAAAAAAACACAAAAACCCCCAACAAAATCCCAACCCAAACCAAAACAAACCAACATTTACTTCCTCGTCTTTTCCTGACACCCATCCATTTAAGTACTCAATGTAAGTTATTCTTCATCTACCTCTGTCTCTCTTGCCTTCTATTGTTGTTTGTTTGTTTTTTGTGAGAGCAAAATATTCAAGAAAAGTGAACTTTATCAGATTTAAAACTCTTCAAAAGTCAACAAATGTCCTAACCATACCATCAATAGAGGGTTACGAAAACAGCCCTAGGCAAGTTATGAGCACATTACAGCATGCTGGCCATGCACAGGGTTAAGTCCAATGAGAATGTCAGTCTCTGAACAAACAGAATCTAGTCCAATGTTATCAACACCATGTTAGAAGGATGAGATGTTAGTAGTAAACAGAAACCTTTGGAGCCCCACATGCCTGTTACACACTTGACGAGAACGCCAGAAGCACGCACCGCACGTGCACACTGCTGCAACATGAAAGACTGGCTCAATATCTGTATTCTAGGAGAACAACATGGGTAGCCACCTTCTCAACACAATGCACGATGATTAGGACATGCGGACAACACACACTACACCACAGACTAGCTGTCTGCACGGGCACAGGTAGAGTCTAGCACTAGGAATCTAGCACCAGAGAAGTCTACGAACAAAGCCAGGAGTTATGAACGAAGCATGCATTACAGTAGGAAGTGAAGTATGAGGCAAGATGAGCTAGAATGCTGAAGGGCTCTCTCTCTCTCTCAGATACCTAGACATCGGACTCGAATGACTCAGGATTCACAGAGCCCAGGCGAAGGAGCATTGGAGTGTGTGGGTTGTTAGGGCTGCTGACCTGGGGAGGGCTCGAGGTGGTGGGTTGCACTACCTGACCGACCGCTTGACTGGAGTTTGAACCCCTCTTGCTGCGGTGGTGGTGGTGGTGGTGGTGGTGGTTCGAGTTGGATGAGTTTTTGTGGTGGTTGTTGTTGCTAATAGGGTGTGATGATGATGTTGATGATGATGCCGCTGATGAGGCTGAGGAGTTTGTGGTGGTGGGTGGAGGTGCATATGTGATGACTCGCTCTTGTAGTTGTGGGTGAGAATGAAGTGGCGGTGGTAGCGGGTGGTGGTTGTGGTGGTCTTGGAAGAAATGTGGCTGGTGTGCAGGGGGCTTCTGGTGAAAGTGGTAGCGTTTGTGGTGGAAGTGTTGTTGTTGTTGTTGATGGTAATGTTGTTGTTGTTGTTGCTGTAGTTGCTGGTGATGATGATCACTGCTGCTTGAATAGGCCTGGTCCTCCACTGCTGACACAGCGTTGCGCATGTGCAAATGTAAATGTATATGTATATGTATATGTATGTGTATGTGAGGTCGGGGAGGAGGGGGGTTGGAAAAACAAAAACAAAGCGCCGATGAAACAAACACACACACACACACAAAAAATCAACCAAAAAAAAAATTTGTTTCTTCATTTGAGTAAAGAGAAGCACATCAACACAAAAAAGGTCATTTAGTGCTGGGAAAAAGCAAGACAGACACACAGGCAGACAAAAACAACAGAGGGAAAGTAAAGAAGCAGGACCTACCAGTGGCACCCTCCAACCACCCACAAGAAAACAAAGATCCAAACGAAATGAGTCACAACATGGTGGAATCAGGCGCTCTTCAATTTTTGGCATTGTGGAGTTGTTGATATCATCTGAAAGTTTATTCATTTGACTTACTTTCAATTCTGAAAAATCCATCTAGCTTGAATAGAAGCAGAGATATTTGTCATTGAAGAAAGTGGGGTAGCCTGGTTTCTGTGGTTAAATTAATGAGAAAATGGCCCCCAAAGTCTGGTAACATCAATGGCTTAAGAGTCCTTGAAAAATGAAAATTACATATTTTGTGCCTTTAAATAGTGTTTTTCAGTAAAATTCAAATGGAAATGACATTTCATATGAACATAAAAGGTGTTTAGCCAAAAAACGAAATTTCAATAAAAATCGCCAAACTGGTGGAAAAATGCCTTTTTCTTTGATTTCATTGTTTTGACGAGCGCCTGATTTCACCACGATGCCTCACAAATAACAAACAAACGAAATGATTAAGGATTAACATCTTCAGCTACAACGGAGTATGCCTACTCATTCATCACATCAACATTCAACATGCAAGGAAGAAAAGTCAACCAGACATCAAGTCAGCGTAGAAAAGAATGTATCAAGTTATCTCTGTAAACTCAAAGCAAATACCCCCCCCCCCCCCAAAAAAAAGAATGACACATTAACAAAAGGACACATCGAAAAGAGACAAATTAACAAAAAGACTCATAAAAAAGAGATACATTGACAAAAAGGACACATCAAAAAGTGACACATTGACAAAAGGACACATCAACAACATCAGGTGCTGGGCTAATCTCTCTCTTTTTGGGGGGCGAGAACGAGAAGATCCCACACACACACATACACACAAATTAATACATACAAGCTCCACTCAACCAAGTATACAAAGACATGATGTAGTCCCACACACACACACACACACACACATACGCACACACACACAAACACACACCAACCACTAATGCACATACATCAACCACTTACACATATACACCAACCAAAATACACACACACACGCACGTGCCCACCCACATGCGCGTGCGCACACACACCAAACATACACACACACCAACCCACCCACCCACACACACACAAATGGACAAACCCACATAAACATCCAGAACTCACACACAGACAAACATGCAAAAAATCACGTACCCACTCTCTTAAGTTTCTTTAGTTTTTGTAATAGTTTTACGGCACTTGCAACACAATAAGGTTATATAAGAGCCGAAGATTAGAGGTGTTACAAGAGAGTAACAAACACAAAAAAGACGGAGGGGAGATAAAGACAAAAGATGTTTGATAGGAAATAAGCGAACCACACCAGAGCACCTGCCAACCACCCACCTATTCTGATCAAACACGTGAACAAACATCCCATGAAAGGCACAAGGCGGGGTGTATTGACAACACACGAGTCACAAAACAAAGAAGATGAAATACATAAAGGAAAAAAAAATAATGAAGATACCAAGGAGTGAACTATGATGTTCCTACGACACAATCAGTGCACTTCTAGAAACATCCAAAAAGGATGCATGTGAGTGTGAGAGAGGAAGAGGGTTGGGGGGGGGGGGGGGCGCAAAGGAGAGGGCACACAATAACAATCAGAACACAGGGCTACAGGAGGAAAATGGCATCCAAATCTGAACACAAGTGTGTCAGTTTAGCTACAATCTACATATAAAAGGACAGCGCACGCACCACACACACACACATATACATATTACAGGAATACGAAAACTAAGGTACACACAGTGAGAAAGTCGGTGAGAAGAGGTGGAGTGAGGTGAGGGGGGGAACAGTCTACACCGGTCAAAAAGATGTCACAGCTAAGATCACTTACACAGATTCCTGAACACCTTGAAATCTTGAAGACACATTCGAGGGGATGGTTGGAAGGAGGGAGGGAGGGAGGGAGGAAGGGAGGAAGGAAAGAAGAAGGCGGGAGGAAGGGAGAGAGGGAAATGACAGAGGATGGGGATGGGAGGGAGGGAGAATGGGGAAATGAAGGTAACAGGGAAAATGTGACGTGAGGATTACCAGTAACCCTTTGGTACCCACATACACATTCATTCTCTCTCTCTCTCTCTCTGTCTCTCTCTCCCTCACACACACATACACTCACACTCAAACACACACACACACACACACACACAGAGAAAAAGACATAGCTGAGATATGGGATACCCCAGAACATATCCACACAAAGACAAGACAATTTGGAAATTGTTGTAAAACAATACACACGTACATTCACATATCTTACAGATACACGGACTAGAATCAGGACATACAATCCCAGTTACACAAAACCAAATGAATAACGTGTTTGCTTGTTTGAGCAACGAGAAGCACATTGACACAATAAATGTCCTTTATTTTACGGCGCTCGAAACTGCATAAGGTCATATGAGCGCCAAGGGGTGGGTGTCAACAGAGAAGTCCTTACAGGTAATCAGGCTTACTCTGCTCACCTCTCTAGCTTCAACAGCACAAGGTCTGCTTTGACTATCAAGGCACCCCGGAAATAGCAGGTCACAAGAGAGTGACAAACATGCAAAAGAAGTAGAGGAAAATTACAATAGTAAGGATCAGGAAAGAAAAAGCAGCAGTTCCCTGTTGTAGATCAGGCACAGTTATGAGCGTGACATAAGTCAGCGCATTTACAATTCTACTATGCTTGAACGAGAAATGTTTCCCACTTTGGGAATGGCCTAAAGACACTACAGTCAGTGGCACTGCCCCTGGGGTAAATGTCCTTTAGCACCGTGGAAAAAGTAAGACAAACAAAAACAACAAAGGGAAAGAAGAGAAGTAAGGCCTACTGGTGGGGCCCTCCAAACCTATATATAATGGGCCACACTGGGGTTTTTGGGGGGTTCTAGTTAGAGTTTTACTTTCTCCTTCACTGCCCAAACCTGGCAGTTCTTCGACGCAGGCTCCTACACACACCTACAGACTTACAAAGCCTGCTCTACTCTGGCGTTGACCAGATGACAAAGACATGTGGTTACTTGAGGGGGGCATTGCGCTGCCAAGAACGAAATGCTCACAGCTAAACGGATTTGAAAACAACAACAACAATAAGAGTTTCACAGGATTGGCCACACAATTAGGTCATATAAGTGCCGGAGGTAAGAGGTGTTACAAAAGAGTAACGTACACATAAAATAGGAGGAGAAATAATGACAATAGATATTTGATAGGAAAGAAGGAGCAAACCACATCAGAGCACCCTCTAACCACCCATGGGTGACAGTTAAAAAATAAACAGTAGAACTCCTGAATGTCATGAGAGACGAGACCATGTATAGAAACACAAGCAACGGTTAATTTAGTACCACAGCACAGACAAGACAGCCAATAACACAGCATTCAGTTCCTCACTGGCAAACCACACAAACGTGCCCTCCAAAGTGCAAACAAAGCACAGCACACTCTCACAGTTAGCGGCCAACATGATGTATATTGTAAGCACACACAGTATAGGTGCCTTGGCACGGATGTTGAGAATCAATGCATTTTGACGCAGCTTTTCCGGACCAGTGACCATAAAAATACCCAAAACAAAAAAACAAAACAAATCACCCCCCCCAAACCCCCCCCAACAAAATCCCAATAGCTGGACAGGTTTTTATGCAGCTCAGAAGGAGATCTAAACAAATATATATTTTCCCTGACTTATATTTATATATCAACTTTTATGGGCTTCTTTGACACAGAAAAGACTTTCAAAACTTGTCAGATAAAATCCATGAAGCCACATAAACACCCATAAGGATTTTAAAAAAAAATCAGAACCGCCCATACTTGAAAAATTCCCCCGATATTTCTGATAAAACCACGATGACCCTTACACATGATGATAATTTAGTCAGTTTCTTAACAGCTGACTCCAACAGTGGATTTACAAAGACTTCATTAAAACAACCAACAGCATCCAGCTAGACAAATGTACACAACCCCTCTGTTTGTTCACTTAGTATGAGGTATGAGCATACTGTCAAAAACACACACACACTACACACAGTCAAAACCCGCACACACTAAAAAAAACCCAAACATAATATGAGGAGTACAAGAGGGGGGTGAGATGCAAAACCCGCTAAGCAAAATTTTCGAACAAACGTCAAGATCCTTTGTCTATAAATGCACTTTGTTACCAGCTATCAGATACACAAAGTGTTTTCTGCCAAAACCTAAAACAACCTTAAAAAAACCCACCCAAACATCTTCTACGCAAAACCAGATACATCCAAGATGTATTTTAGGCTCTCGGACTGGCAACCGTAAGGTTGTGGGTTCGAATCCCGTCAGGGGCCCGACGTTGTGTCCTTGGGAAAGGCACTTTACACGAATTTTCCTCACTTCACCCAGGTGGGAATGGGTACCCCGCTATAGACAGCGAAAGATCTTGTCAGTTTGTTAGTGTTTGAGCGCTTAATCGGCTGCTTGCACTGTTTGCTTCCCAGGAAGCTGAGAATGTTTCGGAGTGTTCTATGGTCTGCTGGGGTAATAATATAGTGTAAAGCGCATAGAGCCTGCTGTTGAGCGGGAATATGCGCTATACAAATGCTATCTATTATTACTATTATTATTATTAAGATCATAATTTTCCAAAACTCATTACATTCTAAAATTTTCTTTATTGGCTAATGAAATTTCCCGATCCTGTCACGTGACTTCCTCTTCAAAAGGGCGTCAAGGAGTGTAAACAGTAGTTTTGATCAGCCCGAAACAACAGCTCATTTCATGTTTGATAGAGATAGTTCACTTTCACCCTCTGCCAGCAGACAAAAAAACTCTGTCCTATGAGGGCTAAGTGTTGTAGAGAGGACTACTGTGGCTGCAATTAGAGCAAAAGAGTGACTAAGGGCATCAAGGAACCCCCCCCCCCGCCCCCCGGATATAGCTGGTTTTGGCAAATCACTACCACTTTCATACCTCAAATTTTGTATTTTAATCATCACACATTCTTTAAAAGTCAAGCTTCCCGTGTTGGTAGGCCAGCTCCCTACCGCTCACTGCAGTACTTTCTGCATCAGTTCGTTTGTATAGAAGAATTTTAAAAAAGCTGATTTTCTCAAAAGTGCTACAATGGATGTAGAGGGTTTTGCATGTCAGCCCCTCAAGTGCTCTATACCTTCTCTATACCTTCGCTAATACAGAGGAGCATTTTTGGAGAAGGAGGAGGAGGCAGGGGCTCATCATCGCTGGCTAGGACCAACAGAGACGACAACGACAACAACAACAGCAACAGCAACAGGTCAAATCCAAATTTCCAGACATGCATGGCAAATACATCAAACGGACACAACGACAGCCTCCACTAGTCCTCATCTCGCCAGGAGAAAAAAGCTTAACCCGAAAACTGGATTTACAATCCAAACTATCTGATATTGAGGTTTTAGTGTAACTAAAATTATTGCTGTCATTTTGAGTATGCTTCTTCTTGTTGTGTGGCAAAAAAACAAAAATAAATATTGAAACATCAAACACAAAACTGGCATCAAACTGCTGAAATATATTATGACTGTCATCTTGTCCTTCCAAAACAAACATGCAGCTTTGCAGACGCACTGAAAATCATACAATCAGCGACCCTTTCAAACATAGGCAATCACGACTCCAGTTACTTTCTTTTTGAGTCATAGGGTGAGAATCAATCAGTAAACCAAGTATTAAGGCCAAGAAACACAAAATTGTGGTTTACGCTGAATTACAATTTCAGAGGAGAAAAATTACAGTGTTATGAAAATGGCCCGAGGATTGAGGATCAAATCCCTTCCTTTGGGGTGGGTGTGAAGGAAGGGAGGGGAGGGGATGAGAGGTGACGCACATATTATTTTCAATGTCAGTCCCCCACAGCTGGAAGCTGTACCACAAACTGTGACCAGTCGGGTTACTTCATGTCGTGTTAATGGACTGCGCACAAAATGCAACTTCGCTGAAGTTGAAGCCTCTAATGACATTTGACCCCTGAATCCGTTTCCCTCATTCTGACCCAATCAACGCAGCTCGTGTCCTTCGGCTGACCAGACATACCAGTTTTGAACATCGTCCGGTAGTAGTCATTAGAACAATCAAGGGAAGCTGCTATAGTATTTTACCCTACTGTTTCGACATTTTTTCCCCCATTTGTTTACGTCCAATTTTATTCCCTTGTCTCTACCATTTTGATAAAGGAAAATTAACGTGGATAAAGTGTGCACCAATACAGAGGTCTGAGTTAAGGACTACTTTCACAAGAAGTACTCAAAGGAGAATCAGTAGTCAAGACATCAAGGCATAGCTTCCAACTTCAACTAGTTGTATGTAGCACATCCGATTTAGAAAACCTTCCAACCACAAGGTAAGGGGGAGAGATATTTCACTCAAAGCCGAAATAAAACACCGCCAGGTTATGAAGGGAGCTGAGAAAAGACTCGTACCTTCACCGTTGGCCATGGGGGGTGGGGGTGGAGGCTCAGCGTCAGGGGTAGGCAGGGTCACGTGCACCGGAGGGGGGATGGAGAAGTCAGGTCCTCCGGGAGACAGCGGGTCCTGTCCAAGAGAGAGAGAAAGATAGACATACATACACAGTGTTAGTTAGGTAACACAGTTAAAGCCACTACAACTGCATAAGATACACATAGTTTTAGTTAGGTAACAGTGTAGCAGTGACTGTAACTGCATATGGTATACACACAGAGGAAGTACAGAAATTAGGTTTTTTTTGTTATAAGAAGGGTATGGTATGACAGATGTTTAACGGCGCAATAGACACAGTAATGGTATAATATGTAAATAACACTCTTAAAGCACTCCCCTGCTGGTGGGGGGGGGGGGGGGGGCCCGTAGTTTTACTATGGGGGAGCAAAGAATACACCTGGCGTGATACTGCGGGTCGTAAGAGGCGACTAAAAGGGCATAGGTCTGGTCGCCCGAAAAGTGCCAGTTTGCGGAGGGCCAACTACCCAACCCAGTAAAAAACAGTAAGTTACAGAAACACGGACAAACACAGCTTTTTATTTTTCGATCTTGGGAGACGGAGGAGCTTCTGCATCAGCAGGAACAATGAAGGACAGCGGACAAAGCCGAAAGGACTCTTCTGACCCGAAACCTTCTCTGTCGAAATTGATGTACAGAAAAGTGGGAAGACATGGAATAACATCAAGAGGCTAGCCCAGGATAAAGAAAAGTGGAGGGTGTTTGTCCGTGGCCTATACCCTGATGCAGGGTGAGAAAGGCAATGATGATGATGACTCTTAAAGCAAGTCAGCAACTTACACAATCCTTCCCCAAAACCAAAGAAGGACTAAGGAAGCAGGGATTTGACTTGAAGACGGAAAAGAAAGTGAGCTCTTGCCAAATCGCTACCTAGGAACTGCAATTTTCTATCTGCTCAGCACATTTTGAAAAATGTGACATAAAAGATATTTGAATTCACAACATGCCAAGCTTTTTTTAAAGCAATTCTTTGAATATCTTGATAATGACTCCGAACAATCTTAAGATTTTGATAGAGCAGATAGAACATTTGGTTTCTGACCTCATGGTCTTAGTAACTCAGAACAGCCAAAAATGTCAGATAAAACTTTGTAATTCTAAGGTAGCCAAATGCTGCCCTAAGGACTCTGGCCGAAGCAGACATGGTCGCTTTGTTTGACTATTGGCTACATCTGATGAAAAAGTTCATTAAGATCAACGCTTATTATGCTGAATATAAAACATGTTTCTGTCGGTATGTACCAAACTTGACGTCTGTCAAATACAAATTTGTTGATTTTACAGAAGAGGGAAACTTCAGGAACGACAGACCTCGCACAACAACAACTGCCCTGCCACCCACAAAGATGGACAGTCAAAGAAACAAAAAGTAAGTAAGACCAACAGACAACTATTCATAGGCAGGTTGGTAAAATGTACTATGCCCAGAAAGCAAAATCTTGCAGGTAGAGAGAAAAAAATTATATTTCATTCTTTTTTACATTTGTACTTTCATTATGTTATTTTTCGGGGCACTTTTTTCATCATTTAAAATTTGAATTTCAACTTAATATTTCTCGAGTACACGCAACCAATACCACGGACTGAAAAACTGCAATATAATAAATTTTCAAATTTTTGGCCTTAGTATGTATGACCAGGAGCGTCAGAGGTGGAAATAGCTGGTGCAACGTTCAGCAATACAGCCCCCCCCCCACCCCCCCCCCACAACTCCTGCAAGGGTTCAGGGACTCGTGATCGTGATCGTAATCGTAACATTTTAACAGTGGGGCGATTTTCTAGAATATCTCATGTGTGGCGTGGACAAGTCGACAATCTCCTCCACCACCAGGGAAGGGAAGACTCCTGAGCGCCCATAACACTCGCCCTCCCAAAAGAGGTGGAGACAGCTGGTGCAGCGTTCAGCAATACAGCCCCCCCCCCCCCCCCCCCCCCCACACACACACACAACTCCAGCAAGGGTTCAGGGACTCGGGATCATGATCGTAATTGTAACATTTTCACAGCATGACGAAGTTCTACTAGAATATCTCACTTGTGGCGTGGACAAGTCGACGATCTCCTCCACCACCAGGGAAGGGAAGACTCCCGAGCGCCCGTTACACTCGCCCTCCCAGAAGCCGTCGTCCACGCCGTTGTCGTCCTTGCGCAGGACTTTGATGAAGGCGCCCTCCAGGAAGGATAACTCTTCCTCCGTCTGAGCCTCGTAGTCGTACAACGCCCTGGCCCAGGAGGTCTCCGTGCTCTCTGTGTACCAGAGAAGAAAGCAATAGAAAAAAATTCAGAAATTTTCTGTTAAAAAATGCAAAGAATTAGTGGAGTGAAAAAAGCCAAATAGAAAGACAGACAGAAACAAACGTGGCACCCACCTACCCAGGAAAAAGTAGCACGAGTCTCCTGGTGAAACAACCACTAGACAGAAACACACACACACATACACACAAATATATATTAACACACACATTCGCACATCTGCAGACTTATACACACACACACACACACACACACCTGCAGACTAACACACACACAGACACACACACACCTGCAGACTTACACACACACATACACCTGCAGACTAACACACACACACATATACACCTGCAGACTAACACACACACACACACACCAGTAGACTAACAAACACACACCCACACACCTGCAGACACACACACACACACCTGCAGACTTACACACACATATACACACACACACACCTGCAGACTTACACACACACACACACACACACCTGCAGACGTGACAACAGTCACTGGAATCTGCGGCTCCTCCCCCGTCATGACCTCCGTCGTCTGCTGAACCTCAAGGTCGCCCGAAGAATACGAGGAGGTCGTGTCTTGCTGGAGGTCAACAGAGGTCGGTGACTGGAGGTCAGGGGTTGCAGACTTGGCCGCCGGTGGTGCAGGCGCGGTTGCTGTAGCTGCGATTGTCGTTGCTGTTGTCTCGGTAACCGTGTCGTTGATGGCGTTCATGGCTTCCACGCCGAGGGGAGCTGGCTCATCCGATAACCCTCCGAGGTCCACGTACGTCTCTGGGATGTATCCCTCTTGTCCCAGACTGTTCTTGGCCTGAGGGGAGGAGGGAGAGTTTAGTTTTAGTAAGTGTTTCACGGCGCTTGCAACACAATAAGGTCATTTAAGTGCCGAAGATTAGAGGCATTACAGGAAAGTAACAAACACGATAAAGAAGGAGGGGAGATAAAGACGATATATGTTTGGAAGGAAAGAAGGAACAAACCACACCAGAGCACCCGCCAACCTCCCACATAGGAGGGAGAAAAATGATTCTAGAGCAAAATAAAGAGTGTCACATCGAAATACAAACGGTCATTTGGGGCTGGTAAAAAGCAAAACAGAAAGAAAGAACAAAAATAAAAAGGACAGGGAGTATAGAGCTACCAGTGTATATAGTCCTACCAATGGCAACCTCCCAGATAACAGAGGCATATGGAAAGAAGGTAAAGAGTCCAGGGAAAAAATAACAGGGATATGCAAGACTGATTAATCTTGTAGACAAATAACACACTGATGAAAAAGAATATTGAAAAATAACACTTTAGATTCAGTGGAGAAATAGGCATAGCAGGATCCGGTGAAAATGGAAAAAAGTTCTATCTTCACAAAAAACAGATATCAAAATTCCATTTTCACCTCACGGAAAAAAAAAGAAAAAAAAAAAGCAATCCGTAAAAAGAGAGAAGAGAGACAGAGACCTAAAGTAGAGGTGGATCAGTGCTGTTCTTACCTTGACCCAGCCGTCTCCATCTCCATCAGCAATCAGCTCCAACTCTTCCTCCGCTTTGATGCTCATCTCGTCGTAGTTGCTCGCCTGGGGGGTGGGGGAGAAGACAACAATACATGAGAGTGAATACCACTGCTTTAGATTTAGTACAGGTTTTACGGCGCTTGCAACTGCATAAGGTCATATGAACGCCAGAAGAGTAAAGATGTTACAAGAGAGTAACAAACATAAAAAAGAAGATAACAAGCATAAAAAAGAAAAAGGGGAGATAAGGACGATATATGTTTGACAGTTGTTCTGGATCGATAACAACGACAGGAAAGAAGGACCACTGCTTTTGGGTTTGTTTTGTTTTAATAAGGTTTTACGGCGCTCGCAACTGCATAAGGTCATATGAGTACCAAAGGGTGAATGTCAACAGAGAAGTCCAAACGGGGAATCAGGGTTACACTGCTCACCTCTCTAGCCTCAACAGCACAAAGTCTGCTTTGACTATCAAGGCACTCCGGAAATAGCAGTCCACAAGAGAGTGACAAACATACAAAAGAAGTAGAGGGAAAAGTGATGATAGTAAGAGGATGAGGAAAGAAAAAGCAGCAATTCACACTATGTTGTTCTGGCACAGTATGACCTTTGAGTTTGAATAGAGTAAATGGAAGCACATCGGCACAATAGCAGTACTCAAAGGTACTCTGTCTCTATACAAACACTTGTGTGTAGCTAAATTATGCATCTGTTCTTGCAACAAACTCCCAGATAACAGAGGGTTATGAAAGCAGGTATCGAGTCCAGGTCCACGGAAGTTATACCCCGGATATGCAAAAATGATTAATCTTGTGGAGAAATAACACCCTGATCAAAAAGAGTCCTGTAGTGAAATAACATGTTAGGATTTTTATACCAACACATCGCGACCTCAGTGCTTTTTTGTCGCATCTCCATTTTTTTAAACAGTGAAAATGTGACTTCTTCTTAACCTCACTCTTTGTTATGAACTGTTTTCACTGTTATTAAAAATGGAGATACGACAAGAAAGCACTGACGTCGCGACATTCTTCAGGTGGACAAAGTGCAGAACTAAAGTACTTTCAATTTTTGTAGCAATTAATTTTTAATTTTGCCCTGGTGGCAGCCAAAGCCTAGTCTTATTTGGGGGGGTTGGGGGGAGGAGGAGGAGATATGAAATCAGATGACAGAACTGGACTCGAGAACAGGAAAGGAGATAGGAGATAAAAAGAGAAAATTTTAGAGAAGAACATTTGTTTGCTGCTGTCAGTTATCAATCCCAGGACATTTTGAATGAGACGGGAGCATCGTATGTCTAGACCTCGAGAACCTCGCTATGTTAAGAGTCAAAAGCTCACCTCAAAGTCGTAGAGAGCCTTGCAGTAGATGGGGTACACTCGCCCCGACCTGGTGCCACCGGTGGTGTTGAAAGTGTCGTCGATGAAATCATCGTCATCATCGTAATGCGTGTAAGTGGGTTCGTGATCGTCTGTACTTTGCTGTGGATGTGACAAAGGTGAGAATGACAGATGTTCTGACAGAGACATTATTTGTGACACAGCTAGTCACTGTTTCGTGTATGTCATTCACAAGAAAAATTGTTTGCAAGCTCTTTTACTGTTTTAAGTCAAGAAAACCCCAAAAAAATTTCAGGAAAGGGAAAAAAACTTGTGTCATTCTTTAAATAATTGTAACTAAATCATGCATCTTTTCTTGCTTTTTTTAATATTTAGAATTCGAATTGCAAGAAAATATTTTTTAAATACATGAAATTGATACCTCGGATTAAAAAGCAGCAATAAAAATAATCTCAAAAGTTGGCGCGGGGCACACCTAAACAGCTGGCGGATAAAACGCAGGACAGCTCTCAAATGTGATATTTTGGTTAAATAAGACAGAAAGATCAAATCACATCAGAGCATCTTCCAACCACCCACTATCATTTGAAAATTTTTTAGCAGACTCTTTCAATCCGTTTTCCTATACTGATAAAGAAAGAAGTCGTGTAACTTTTCCTTTTTTCAGTCAGAAATTACACAGGTGTCAACAAGCATTATTACATCCCATTTGATCCCATTTGCATCACCCCGTACCCAGATCTGACTAACTCTCCACAACTCTACTCTCTTACCACAGTAAAATTCCAGTCAAAAGAAACTGCCAAAAACAAAACGACCAACTCCAAAAAACAACAAATCTCTCATCTTTGACATGATTACAGAAACCAAAAAGAAACCGTTGCAACTGTTTCAAAGAAGGGAACAAGACTGAAATAAATCAACCCAAGAAAATGGTACAATGAAAACTGATTCACAGACAGACAAAGAGCTAATGTTTCTCCGATAAATTTATTTCATTAGTTTAAAGTTTGGCGCAAAATAGAGCCTATGCATACTTTTGTGAAAATATGTGTGTATGTACACATGTGTGTCTGTGTGTGTGTGTGTGTGTGTGTGTGTGTGTGTCTGTGTGTGCGTTTGTGTGTGTGTGTGCGTATGTGTGTGTGTGTGTGTGTGCGCGTATGTGTGTGGTGTGTGTATGTATGTACACACATATATGTGTGTGTGTGCGTATGTGTGTGTGTGTGTGTGTGTGTGTGCGTATGTGTGTGTGTGTGTGTGCGTATGTGTGTATGTATGTACACATATATGTGTGTGTGTGTGTGTATGTGTGTGTGTGTATGTAAGGCACAGAAGTGGGAAAAAGTGGAAAGAGGGAGAGAAGACAAAAGAGGAGGTCAATGTACAAGCATGTACAATAGCCCTATAGCTATTTATTGTAGAGAAAGACAATTCTGAATGTCCCACACAACAAAAGCAACGTTCAGTCAAGAGGGAGTAACTTCAAAACCAACACAAGGAATTCCTTCCCTTTTCTCTGGTGCTACAACACATTACATTGCATGAGATATTCCAGAAGCCAAACCTGAAACAAAAGGCAATGGCATTTGGCAAGTTCAACCAGAGAGGGTTTACAGTAAATTATGCACACACCATAACTGTCTTTCAGCTAGCATGCCTGTATTATTGTGAATCCAGTCAAAACTGCCTCAGTGGCCACCAGTCCAAGACAATCACCTGCCCACTTTCCCCAGCGTTCTTTCTTTTGAGTTTTAGTTAGAGTTTAACAGCACTTGCAACACAATAAGATCATATAAGTCCCGAAGGTTACAGGCGTTACAAGAGCATAACAAACACAAAAAAGAAGGAGGGGAGATAGAGACGATTGATCTTTTATAGGAAAGAAGGAACAAACCACACCAGAGCACCTGCCAACCACCCACTTTCTTTTAAAAAATATATAATGTTACTGTCCAAGATGTCCACCTGTCTAAAACAACCACTTTTCTCTTGACAATGGCTGGATATCTAGGAAAATTTTGACTATATTTTAATTACTTGATAAAGAATAACAGACGGGTGAAGAAGTTGGCTCTACCACCAGTTCAGCTTCTCGGTAACCCCCACCTCCACCCCAAACCTTCTTTAACTCTTTATCTCCGGTAAGCTGCTTTGCAGTCCGAACCACTGTGCTTGTGAGCCGCCGACAGGCACATTTCTTTACAAAGACTTTGACATCAAATTACTTTTAGTCAAAACAGGTCTTTTATACCGGAGTTCATTCATTAGATGAAAAACTATCAAAATAGGTTTGCTAGTTTTGATTAAATGACCCATTTAATGACCTTTTTGTCATTTTTAGACTTCGCACTAAAAAAGAGCCCCCGAGTAGGGGGTTTAACCCCTCAGAGATAAACAGTTAAAAAACGACAGAAATAAAAATAAAGAGAGTCAGATGATTAAAAGCTGCACAGTAGAAAATGTGCATTCCTTCTAGGCAGTGGCAGAAATGTGAATCAAATAGTAGAGGACTTAACTCCTTATCTCCGTCAAGCCGCTCCTAGTGGCTCGCTGTCGGAACCTCTGTACTGATGAGCTGCTGGCAGCATCTCGGGCACATTTCTTTACGACTTCAACATCAATTACTTTTCAGCACAACTATCAAGATCACTTATTTCGATTTTCTGGTAAATTTAGTGACGTATATGTCACTTTTAAAGTCACAAGACGGTCGTTGCAGTGGAACCCACAGAGAGCAGGAGGCGGGGGTAGGCCACGCGAAACATGGAGGAGATGTGTGAAAAGGGACATGAGAGAGATAAAGATCACTTGGAACGAGCTTGGAAGGATGGCCCAGGACAGAGGTAAATATAAGGAGCTTGTATGTGGCCTATACCCTGCCAGGGGTGAAAGGCATTGATGATGTTGATGAAGATGTCACTTTTAGCTTCAGCCCTTAAAGAGGGCCCTGGCATTGTGGGTTTCCCACCCTTGGAGATAAAGAGTTAAGAAATGATGCCAACATACGGTCGCTTTTAAGTACAAGGTGGCTATCCCGAAAATGTAGTTTTGAGAAAATCGAAGGTAAAGTTTTTGCCCCTTGTTCAGTTTCTTTAAAAGACAAGGAGAGTTTTCTCTATAACCAAACTTCTCCTATAGGTAGGGCAATGCCCACTTTTGGTGTAGGTCAAGATTTCTGGAAATCCTTGAAATCTGGGTTAGCCCGCTTGTCTTTAACCCTTTGTCCCCACTGGATGCCGATCGGCAACGGTGTGATATAGCATGTACCGCATCTGTATGTACCCTGGTCCGAGGGGATAAGTGTTGTGTGCCGCGCTCTGCACGCTGCGAGGGTGGAAACGGTTAAAAACGACCATATCATATTCACAATCTCGCTCTGCACGCTGCGTGGGTGGAAACGGTTAACAGCGACCATGTCACATTCACAATCTCGCTCTGCGCGCTGCGTGAGTGGAAAGGGTTAACAGCGATCATGTCACATTCACAATCTCGCTCTGCGCGCTGCGTGGGTGGAAAGGGTTAAAAACGACCATGTCACATTCACAATCTCCCTCTGCGCGCTGCGTGGGTGGAAAGGGTTAAAAACGACCATGTCACATTCACAATCTCGCTCTGCGCGCTGCGTGGGTGGAAAGGGTTAAAAACGACCATGTCACATTCACAATCTCGCTCTGCGCGCTGCGTGGGTGGAAAGGGTTAAAAACGACCATGTCACATTCACAATCTCTGTGATGGCAGACTTACCCCCCCGGAGCTCTCTGTCCTCAGAGACAGCTGGCTGGGTGTGCGTGCCAGGCCGCTCTCCTCCGCCACCAGAGACTCCATCTGGGCCTGGCTCATCCACTCGTCCACGTTCACTGAGGACACACAAACAGACGCACAGTTTAGTTTTAGTTTTTGTAAGAGTTTTACGGCACTTGAAGCACAATAAGGTCATATAGGCCGAAGATTAGAGGTGCTACAAGAGAGTAACAAACACAAAAAAGAAGGAGGAAAGATAAAGAGGATAGTTGTTTGACGCACAGTTTGGATGTTGTCAAGTGTTAGTCTACATAAGATGAGTTTTCAAGGCAACAGCCACATATCACCAGAAAGCAAACAACAAGGTTAGTTAAAGTTTCCATAACAGTTTCACAGCACTTGAAACACAATAAGGCCACATAAGTGCCGAAGATTAGAGGTGTTACCACAGACTAACAAACTCAAAAAAAAGAAAGAGGCGAGATAAGGAAGATAGATGTTTGATATGAAAGAAGGACCATACCACACTAGAGCCCCCGCTAACCATCCACTACTCAAGTTTTCTCTGAACTGCAAGCACTGATCAATTATAAGAGAGTAACAATGACAAAAAAGAAGGAAGAAAGATAAAGACGACAGTTGTTTGATAAGAAAACCATACCAGAGCACCCGCCAACCACCCACAGATGCACAGTTTGGAAGCTGTCGAGTGTTAGTCTACATACAATGTGTTCTCAAGGCAACAGCCACATATCACCAGAAAGCAAACAAGGTCAGTTATAGCTTCCGTAACAGTTTTACGCCACTTGAAACACAATATGGTCATACAAGTGCTAATGACAAGAGGTGTTACCAGAGACTAACAAACTCAAAAAAAAGAAAGAGGCGAGACAAGGAAGATAGATGTTTGATATGAAAGAAGGACAATACCACACTAGAGCCCCCGCTAACCATCCACTACTCAAGTTTTCTCTGAACTGCAAGCACTGATCAATTATACACAGGGGTTTTATTTCTAGAATTAATATTAGAAATCTATAAAAGAGGCCCTACACACTGACTTCTGACAAAACTAAGTTAGACCTTTCATCCTCTTATGAGCTTCTGAAAGTACTCTACAAAGCCAGTAAAATTCTTTAATAAAGTGTGGTTAGCTGTGTTATTCTCGGAAAAGTAGTCGAGTACGGTAGGCTACCTATTTGACATTGAAGAAAACAAGGACAGGCCGAGGCGTAAGCCACGGACTTCTTAAGACTGCGTGAGTAGCGGTCGAGGTGCAGAGCAGAGAGTTGCGACCAGTCAGTGCAAGTTGGATCGCTACATGAGGTGGGTGTGCATAGTTAAACCACATGCGTGTATAGTTAAACTACATAAAGCTATGGAAAATTTACGTTCTCCTGAAGAAACCACGAAAAAGTAACGAGGAAACAAATGCAACAGGCAAACACAACTCATAATAAGACAACCCCAGAACAAACAAAATCTGGGATAAAAGTGTACCACAGCCATCAACAACAGCACACTCAGTGTGCCCCCGACTCAACTGAAGATCTCCATGAGGCGAGGGATGAGGTCGTCGTATCTCGGGTCTGTCGTAAGTGGTGGCGGAACGAGTTGTTGAGTCAGTGAGTGAGAGAGAGGAAGAGGGGGGGTAGAGAGAGAGAGAGAGAGAGAGAGAGAGAGAGAGAGAGAGAGAAAGAGAGAGCTAGAGAGAGAGAAAAAGAGAAAGAGAGAGCTAGAGAGAGAGAAAAAGAGAAAGATAGAGAGCTAGAGAGAGAGAGAATAAAAAGAGAGAGAGAGAGAGGAGAGGAGTGGGTCTCCGAGTGAGAGAGAGAAAGAGAGAGAGAGAGAGAGAGAAAAAGAGAGAGAGAGAGAGAGAGAGAGAGAGAGAGAGAGAGAGAGAGAGAGAGAGAGAGAGAGAGAGAGAGAGGGAGGGTAGTGCAGCACATCAAAACGATAACGGTCATCTAGTGCACACAGACAAGACAGAAACAACCGACAGAGAGAAAGTACAGCGGTAGGATCAAACAATGGCACCTCGTAACTACCCACTTTATGAGTTATCAGTAGCTCAAATAGTTGTTACACTTAAAGCCAATCAGCTCAATAAACGGCCTCATTTCTTTAAATTAAATGGGTTCCAACAAGTGTACCATTGATCAGAAGCAGATGGATTGAAACCAGAAAAGCAGTTTTTACCCACTACATCAGTTTAAGAAACGTATGTTTTGTTTTCAAATCCCTTTAGCTGCGAGCATTTCACTCTTGGCAGCGCAATGCCTCCCTAAGAAATATATAGACATTGCCACAAAATATCTCACGATGACACAAGACATGTGAAACTCCAACTTCCCAGAAATACCTCTGGACTATAGAAAGAGAACAAGTTGAAGAACAAGAAAAAGCAAAAAAATGAGGAGCTGAATAGTAGTAATAATAATGAGGAAAAGGAGAAGAAGGAGGAGAAAGAGATGAAGTAGAAGAATGGGGACGAGGGGTATGAAAATGAGGAGAAAGAGAAGAAAAGTTCCTCCTTATCAATAGAAAAACATGTACCAATCTTCTTCTCAGGTACAGTTTTAAAAAGCTTTGTAAGAGTTTTACAGTACTTGCAACACAAATAGTTCATATAAGTTTTTAGGTATTACTATATGAGAGTAACATTTTAAAAAAAATCAAAAGGGTGGGACCACGAGTACAGCTTGCACAGTGTATCTGTCACATCCTGTGTGGGCACTCATCACTTACCTCCCCCTGAGCGCAGTGCCTCCAGTCTCGCCTCGGCCTTCAGCTTGGAAGTCTGACGAGGAAAAACAGCTTTTGTGAGTTTGAGTTTTTAGGAAAGAGAAGTACACGGAGACAATTGATCGCTTTTAAGCACAAGGCGGCTATCCCGAAAACTGCTGTTTTGAGAAAATCGAAGGTAAAGTTTTTGCCCCTTGTTAAGTTGCTTTAAAAGACAAAGAGAGTTTTCTCTATAGCCAAACAAATATGCACACCAATGAATCCAAATTTCTCCTATAGGTAGGGCATGCCCACCCTTGATGTAAGTCAAGATTTCTGGAAACCCCTGAAATCTGGATTAGCCTGCTTATCCTTAAAAGCCACCAATTATGTGTGTGCCTGGGGAAAGGTCCCAGTGGTCGCCAAAGCTATTTTTGTTTGTTTTAGTAACGTTTTACGGCCCTCGCCACTGCATTAGGTCATATGAGCGCTAAGGGGTGGTTGTCAACAGAGAAGTCCAAATGAGGAATCAGGCTTACTCTGCTCACCTCTCTAGCCTCAACAGCACAAAGTCTGCTTCGACTATTTAACTTGCGACAAATATTGGGTTAAACAGAAACAAATATTCAGAATAATAACTGATTTTCTCGCAAAAATAACCGGAATAACAGGAAAAAACCAACAAAAGCAGCAAACCTACAGTTAGGCTTGTGATCTTATGATATTAATATCATTCATGTTAATTAAGGCAATAAAACTACATTAACTTTTATAAAATTGTATCTCTCCTAATGCAAATCAATAGAGCAGGAGAGATCACTCTCACCTTTCTACCTGTTTATGTGCCGAGTGTTGATGCGAAAATTCTACTGTCTCCGAGCGTGAATAATAATAGTTGCATTTATATAGCGCATATCCATGCTCAAGAGCATGCTCTATGCACTTTACAACTATTATTACCCCAGCAGACCCTCTGAGAGCACTCAGAAACATTCTCAGCTTCCGCGGAAGCATACAGTGCAAGCTGCGGATTTCACGTGCTCAAACACTACCAAACTGACAAGATCTTTCACTGTCTATAGCTAGGTAACCATTTCCACCTGGGTGAAGTGAGGAAAATTTGTGCAAAGTGCCTTTCCCAAGGACACAATGTCGGGCCCCTGACGGGATTCAAACCCACGACCATACGGTAGCGAGTCCGAGAGCCTAATGAATGTGCCCTGTTCTCTGTTCATTTCATTTCAGCACGTCGAGTACTAGTGCCTCCTCCATGCCTGCCACCTATAGCCTAAACCTTATCTACAATCATCCCCACAAGTGTCTGTTAGGCCTTTCGCCATAGCATGCAGGAGACCAGGGTTTGATTCCCGAGTGGAGAGAATTTTTAATCGAACGAGAAACTCCCGTCTTTCTGGTGGGATGTTGAACCCCTCTCAGCCAGAGCTGTCCCTGACGAACAGGGTCAGAATCCCACCTCTTAAATTAGGCCTACCCAAATTGTGTCGATGGAAGTGTAAAAACATCTCTACATTATCACGATCCTCACCTCAGCTTTGCGGATGTTATGCCTCAGCTCCTCCAGCTTCACCTCAGGGTCTGTGGTACTTGCTGACTCCTGGCTGCCAGACTCCGATACCTGAGGGAGGATAACACGTCTCTATTTACCCGGCAACAGACAACGAGAGAGACTTTGTCAGTTTGATAGTATTTGAGCAATTAGCTTTTAAAATACCGGCATTTTTTAAAAGTAAGTGTTTTATGGCACTTGCAACACAATAAGGTCATATAAGTGCCGAAGATTAGAGGTGTTACAAGAGAGTAACAAACACGAAAAAGGAGGGGAGATAAAGACGATAGATGTTTGACAGGAAAGAAGAAGCAAACCACACCAGACCACCTGCAAACCACCCACCAATATCAGGATTTATCAGCACATGACGGTACAGGGTACTGAAAGACAGTGATGTATCACATGAAGAGTTAATTGGTTGCTTGAACTGCATGCTTCCCGGGAAGCCGAGAACGTCTATGAGTGTTCTAAGGTCTGCTGAGGTATAGACTGTAGAGTTCATAGAGCTTTCTGTTGAGCGGGGATGTGCGTTATAAAAATGTTATTTATTATTATTATCATCATTATTATTATGAGTTAACGCCTAGCTTTATGCATACCATTCATTTCAGAGTTGGAGCATTCGGTGAAAGGATGAAAAAAGAAAGAAGAAAAAGAGAAAAAGAAGGATGACTGAAAGAAAGAAGAAGACCATCAAAGTACATGTGAGCATAGACGTTCAGGTATCTTAGGGTTGTCATAACAGCATTATAGGAACAAAATGCAAAAATAAAGGAGTGAGAAAGGAACAACCCGTGGTCCAGCCACACTTCTGCTTGCTCGCTCGCTCACTCACTCACCCGGTCCCCAGAGCGCATGCTGTGTATGACGGTCATCTGTCGGTAGTAGTCCCGGATGGCCCTCGTCTCTTTGGCAATCTTTGTGCACCACTTGCGGGCCTCCTTCTCCAGCTCTGGGCCCGCCCCGTGGTCGCTGCTCACCTTATTGCACTGCGGGTGGAGGGGGGTGGGGTGGGTGGAGGGGGGGGGGGGGGGGTGGAGGAGGGGGTGGAGGGGAGGAGACAGAACAACACAACCAGAGTCAGGAATACACAGTTCAGAGAGTTCCTAGAAATCAAGCAGTTCACGTTTTAGTTTCAGCAAGAGTTTATGTTTTAGAAAATGTTTTATGGACCTAGCAACACAATACGGTCATATAAGTGCCAAAGATTAGAGGTGTTACAAGAGAGTAACAAACACAAAAAAGAAGGAGGGGAGATAAAGACAATAGATGTTTCACTGGAAAGAAGAAGCAAACCACACCAGAACACCCGCCAACCACACACAGTAAGAGTTTTACGGCACTTGCAACACAAATAGGTCACAGACTAAATCATGTCTACCCACATGAAAAGTTCACCCTTGAAGCCAAAAAAAACATCATGATTTGATTAGAAAAAATTTAATCATATTTTTCAAACGGCTTAGATACTGTATTTATTTACTCTGAGACTACATCAGCAAAAGAACTAAATCGTGATTTGCCTACCCAAAAAGTAAGAAATCACCTCAAAAGAGCAGCATTCGGGTACTGGTACAGATCAATAAGTCCCAAAATCTACAACTCCATTACAACAGTCCCCTGTGTGTGCATGTAGCATGTACTCACCGTGTCCCCATTAGTGGGCTCAAACTGATATTGCACCAGGTTTGTGAACACTGGGTTCTGGAACAGGTAACACTGATGGCTGAACTGCCGACAGATCTGGGGAGAGAAATACCAACAGATACAGCCTCTCTGTGGAACATGCTATGAGTAACTCTAGGCAGTTAAAAGGGTATGGGGCTAATAAGCTAGAATTAGTATTGCATATCTCTTGTGGCACTATTGACTTATTAAGTTTTAGTAGAGGTTTTACGGCGCTCGCAACTGCATATGGTCATATGAGCGCCAGAAGATTAGAGGTGTTACAAGAGAGTAACAAACATAAAAAAGAAGAAGGGGAGATAAGGACAATAGATGTTTGATAGGAAAGAAGGAGCAAACCACACCAGAGCACCCGCCACCACCCACTGACTTATTTAGGTCATGTGAGCACAACGTACAGATTTTCGTATTATCTGTCTCATTACATTTTAACAGCTTGCCCACAATAGACAACAATAACAATAATAGACTGCATTTATATACCACACATCCCTGCTGTAAAAGTACACACTATGCAATCTAAAATTTATAATCATCCCGACAGACCCTCTGACGTTTCAAAACATTTCAGCTTCCTGGGAAGCATCTAACCAGATACAATCATCATCAAATGCTACGTCTGAAGACAGACATTGGCAACAATAGTGAAAAAACCATTCCTCAGCTTGGAAGCTCTAAAAAAAAAAAAACCCTGCAAAAATCCTGGGTCTTTCTCCCTGGTACTCATCTGTTCGAGTTATTCTTTGTATACCTCCTTTGCCTGCTGCGCCATCCCCCCTCCTCTCTCCTTTTAGTTTAAGTAAGTGTTTTACGGCACTTGCAAAACCATAAGGTCATATAGGTGCCGAAGACCAGAGGTGTAGCAAAGAGAGCAACAAACACAAAAAAGAAGAAAGGGAGATAAAGACGATAAAAGCCAACTACAGCAGAGCACTCGCCAACCACCCACCCTCCTCTTTCCTCCTCCCCCCTCCCTCATCCCAACTAATGCCTCACCTTGGCCGCCTCTACAGCAATGGTCTGAAAGCTGGAGCTCTCAGCCTCTGCTAGATCAGCCGCTGTCTGACCGGCCACCGTCAGTGCTTCCTGGATCTTCTCGTAGATGTCACAGTCCAGTGTCTGGTGGTGGTGATGGTGGTGATGGTGGTATTCGTGGTGGTGGGGGGGGGGGGGGGAAGGGGGGTGAATAGAAGTTTAAGTTTTAGTAAGAGTTTTATGGCACTAGCAAACACAATTATATATACGGTCATATAAGTTTTTAGTTTAGTCTTAGTAGAGGGTTTTACGGCGCTCGCAACTGCATAAGGTCATATGAGCGCCAGGAGATTAGAGGTGTTACAAGAGAGTAACAAACATAAAAAAGAAGAAGGGGAGATAAGGACGATAGATGTTTGATAGGAAAGAATCATATAAGTGCCAAAGAATAGATTACATGTTACAAGAGAGTAACATACACAAAAAAGAAGGAGGGGAGATAAGAACGACAGATATTTGATAGGAAAGAAGAAGCAAACCACACCAGAGCAACCGCCAACCACCCACGGTGTGGAGAGAAGACATGGTGTCAAAAAATACACACGCGACAGGGAAAAGGAAGAAAAAGGCCCTCAATGTAACATTCAAATCTTAAACAATACCGAAACTGGACCCAGAAGACACAGAAAGAATTCATAAGTCACATCATGATACAAAGTTATGAAAGTCACTGAACACAATTTAAACAAAAAAGATATACACCTTTGATAATCTCAAGCTCGGCTATGGACTAGTGCAATAACTGTGAAAGTATTCGTAAGAAAATAACACTTCCTTATCCTTATCCAAATCGTAATCTCTGGCAAGCTGTTCCTAGTGGTTTATGGTCAGATTCGCTGTGCTGGTGAGCCCCTGGCAACGGTTCGGTCACATTCCTTCACAGTACAACACAACGGTTCCGTCACATTCCTTCACAGTACAACGTTATATTAATTTTCTGCAATTGCCGAAGACAGGTCCTCTTACGAGGGTTTTTTCCTGAATTGAAAAACTATCAAAAATATGTTTTATTTCTTTTGATTTAGTGATTTGTATGTCACTTTCAGGTTTTGTAACAAAAAAGGGCCCCAGCACAGTGGAAAACCCCCTTTAAGAGATAAAGAGTTAAGGAAGGAGACCCCTTAACTAGACCTTTAGTTTTGTTTTTACTTTCAGTAGAGGTTTTACGCCGCTCACAACTGCATAAGGTCATATGAGCACCACGGGGTGGATGTCAACAGAGAGGTCCTTCGGGGAATCAGACTTACTCTGTTCACCTCTCTAGCTTCAACAGCACAAAATCTGCTTCAACTATCAAGGCACCCTGGAAATAGCAGGTCATAAGAGTGTGACAAACATTTAATATAAAAGAAGTAGAGGAAAAAGGACGATAGTAAGGATTAGGAAAGAAAAAGCAGCAGTTCCCTGCAGCAGTTCAGACACAGTTATGAGCAGGACATCGATGAATCAGTCCATTTACAATTCTACTTTGCATAAGAACAGGTTAATGCCCCGTTACAGAAAAAGACAACAAAAGCTGACTCACCTTTAATATATCTGGCATGTCTGTGCTGTAATAACGCATGTGGTGCGCGTTGGCAGCCGCCAGACACAGAAGGTATTCGTTGCGGGCCGACGTCTCCTTCACTTCACTGGCCTCCGTGCGACTCCGGAGCTGGGACACACAATGAGGAGGGGACCACAGTGAGATGGCTTGAGTTAGCCGAGTTTTAGTTTTAGTGTGAGTGAAATGATTATGAAAACTACACCAGAGAACTGGTCCATCCCCCACATGGACACCACACAAATAAATAAAACCTCAGAAAAAGCAGTCACTTTTTGTTTCAGTTTTAGTAAGAGTTTTAAAGCGCTTGCAATACAAAAAGTCATATAAGTGCCAATAATTAAAGGCGTTGCTATAGAATAACGCACAAGGAAAAGAACGAGCGATAAGGACGATAGATGTTTTATTGGAGCAAACCACGACAGAGTACCCGCCAAACAACATGGAAAAATAGTCTGTATGTACCATTATAAATGTGCAAGAGGTATACTGGGATAGGTAAATGATGGTTCTTTAGTTTAGTTTAGTAGTAGAGGTTTTACAGCGCTCGCCACTGCATAAGGTCATATGAGCGCCAAAAGATTAGAGGTGTTACAAGAGAGTAACAAACATAAAAAAGAAGAAGGGGAGATAAGGATGATAGATGTTTGATAGGAAAGAAGAAGCAGACCCCACCAGAGCACCCGCCAACCACCCACAATGATGGTTCATGACATGTAAAAACACACAGTCAAAATATTACTCAGGGGCGGGAGGTCTCTTCTTACCTTTGCGCACGACTTCTGTAAACTCGCTAAAGACTGGAATATCCCAGTCGACTTTCTTTTCAACCTGAAACACACAGTAGTTTGTATCAGTTATGACATAACTGTGAGTTGTTTTGTTTGTTCGGTTTGATTTAACAGAAGCTCATTGACAGAATAACGGTTATTTAGTGATGGGAAGTTGTAAGACTGACAGACAGAAATAATGGAGGGAAAGTAAAGAGGTAGGACCAACTTGTGGAGCCCTCCAACCACCCGCCTGCAGTTGCTATTGACTAGAATATTTATAACACACCTTGATGTAAAAGGTTGTCATCCCCAGTTTAGGATGGAAGCACTAGACCTATCATTTTAGATAAGTACGATTGATGTTGGCATTTTTGGGCAAAGGAGATGCAAAAATGACACGATAATGAGCATTCAGTGCAGGGTGAAAAAACCCCCAAGACAGACAAACAGACAGAAACAGTAGAGGGATCATGAATCACAAGGTAGGAGCTAGCAGTGGTGCCCTCTGACCAAAAGCACAACCCCCCCCCCCCCCCCCCCCCCAAATGTCAAATTTATTCCCACAAGACAGACGAGCAGATATCAACACAAACATCTCGACGTCAGGTCACTCACTTGTCCTCCGCTTCAGTGGACTTTTGCCGAGCCTCGTAAGCCACACCCCCTTCTGTGGTGTAGAGCTTCTGGGCCTTGACCAAGTCCATCACACACTGGGCCACCTCCGTCTGTATGGTGCTCAACTGGGGCATCACCTGGGGGTGGACACAACAGGGCAAACAGCTGAAATCAAAGGAGTCTTGCATGCACGCACACAAGAAACACGCACATAGCAAAACAAGCACATAGCGAAACACTCACAGAGTGAACAGATTTTCGGTTCCCAAATTTTGTTTCTTATACATGTATATTTTTTAAATTTTAAACACACACATAGTGAAATTAGTAAATTACGAAAATATTTCCCACATCTGGCCGATTTTGCTATATTATTATGTCAGGTAGGCTGTAGGTGTTTAACACTCCTTGCAACACTGTTAGGTTATTTAAGATGTTGGACATAAAATTCAATGTCCATCTGCTATAACACCGAGCCAATTGGGAAAATTCTGGTCTTGAATGTTCATAATAATTTTCCTTTAAGCATCCGAGTCTCTATTAGGAGCAAAACGAGAGAACAGAGAATATGTATTTTCCAATAACAAAACGCACTTCCATACTCACGACCCTCAAACACAAATACATATGGCAAATACATATGGTCACTTTTAAGGTCAAGTGGGCTAACCGAGATTTAGGGGCTTTCCAAAAATTTTGACCCACAACAAAAGTGTGCATTGCCCTACCTATAGGAGAAGTTTGGTTTCATTGTTTGTGTATATTTGTTTGGTTAGAGAGAAAACTCTCCTTGTATTTTAAAGAAACTGAACAAGGTGCCAAAACTTTACCTTCCATTTTTTTCAAAACAGCAATTTTAGAGATAGCCCCCTTGGGCTTAAAAGCGGCCATATTTACGCAATGGTTGGCAGCTATGCACACAGCAGCACTGAGGCCCCAACACGCGGCACAATCAATCTTCCGTCCTGTCCTACCTTCTTGAAACACTGTACTTTGGCCGCCTTGGTGGGCTTGAGGGGCTCCGCAGCCTTCTCTGCATACACCTCGGCAGCCTGAAGCCTGGCCCGGGCCAGCCGGTCAGACTCCTCCAGCACTGACCGCCACACTGTGCACACCGTTCTGTGGGCAGTTGTAGGTTCATTTTAGTGAGAGTTTTTAAGGCACTTGCGACACAAAAATGTCATGTTGTTGTTGTTTTCAAATTCCTTTAGCTGCGAGCATTTCGCTCGAGGTGGTGCAATGTCTCCCTCAAGTAACCACATGTCCTTGTTGAACAACAAATATGTCATAGAAGTGCCGAAGATTACAGGTGTTACCAGAGAGTAAGTACAAACAAAAGGAGGTGAGATAAAGAAGATATGATTGACAGAAGAAAAGAAAAGGAGCAAACCACACCAGAGCACCTGCCAACCTCCCGGTGAATGCCGAAGGTTAGCAAAGGTTAGAGGTGTTATTAGAGATAACAGATTAATAAAAGGAGGAGAGATTCAAGGAACACAGGTGTTTGATAGGAAAGAAGGTGCAGAATACATCAGAGTGCGTGCCAACAACCCATGTTCTGTGGAGAGAAGCAGCACTCGAAACACTCAAAGTCACCAAAAGAAAAAAATCTTTCGCCTGTTTTGTCAGCGAAGACAATGGAGTGCGGACCGCTGAGCACTAAATAAATTAAAAGTAATTTTTTAAAAAGATAACACATCAAATATTTTTTAGCCGACTTCAACTTTAAACAGTAACAATTACAATGGTTATACTAATAATAATAACAATGATAATAATAATAATTATTATAATAATAATAGTAATAATAATATTGTGTCTACTCCCAAATTGGGCTCCAGGTGCTTTACATCAATGATGAAATTGGACATTCAAGCGTAATTTAAGCTTATGAAATTATTCATATTCATCTATAAACAAACGCTAACATACACACAAAGTCATAAATACACACACATTCACACATTGAGCACATAGACATAAACACACAAATGCAGCAAAGGTATTTTTAAATGTAAAATGTCTTTCTGAGTAATCATTTATGTAAATGAGTTGAATGCCCTGCTATGCACACACACACACACACACACACACACACACACACACACACACACACACACACACACACACACACACGCACACACACAAACACACACACACAAAAAATTAACAAAATAAATAAAAAAAATTAAAAAATCATTTTGGAAGTTTGGAAGCAGATCTTGTGGCTTTGCAATTCAAGCACAGAGACAAGAAGATAAGGATCAAAGAAAGAAAAAAATACACACAAATGAACATCACAAAAGCAAGCATATCCGAACAACTATTACGTCTACGCGTTTTTGTCCATGACAAAACGGCTTGCATCGCCTTGTGATACACAGTTGGGTTTTGCATCCGACTACTCGGAGGGGAGGTGGAGAGGGAGAGAGATGACCACCACCACTATCATCATCATCACCATCATCATCATCACCATCACCATCATTACCATCATCATCATCATCACCATCATCATCACCATCATCAGCCTAAGAGAGATGTTAACCATCATCATCATCCTTTGTCCCCCCATACCTATATGCATAGACCACCAACAAGAGCTCTCCATAATATACTTCTGTCCTGGGCTATAGTCTCCACCTCTGTGCAGCTGATCTTGTTTACACAAAAATCGAATTCCTTCCTCCAAGTATGGTTTTTGGCCTTCCTTTCTTTCTCTTTCCTTGTGGATTCCATTGATTTAAGGCTTGGGGATGACACATGCCTCCATGTACAAAGCAGTCACAAAGAATGAGCAGGGACATTGAACTCAAAATATTTTGAAGCTTCCACTGCTGCCACTTCAATCTTGTATGGCTGACTCTAAGGCAGTCACATCAGCTGGACTTCATAAACCCATGTGTTGCAATCATGTTCAGAGCAACAGCGAAATCCATTCCCCCAAGGTCTCCAGACATTATCATGTAATATGTCACGACAGGTGAAAGCAGGCACTTGTCATTGTAAGGGCATATGAAGTTCTTGGTATTAGTTTGAAACTCAAAAGAAAATCTTACATTTGCGGACAAAAAATACCCATCAATCTTGAATAGAAGTCGAAATATTTGTGGGTGAAGGAGGTTGTCTGATGTCAGACGTAAGATAAGTGGAAACACGGCTGCAAAGTTTGGTGACTTCTAAAGCTTGAGTGTCCATAGAAAACTGCAAATTTACATTTTATGTGCTTTTCATGTACATTTTTCCGAAAACCCCTGAACAAAAAGAAGTTTTTATAACAACACAAAAGGTGTTAAACCGTTAAACAACAACCCCCCCCCCAAAAAAAAACAACAAACAAACAAACAACCCCAAACAAAACAAAACAACCCCCCTCCCTAAAAAAAATTGCCCAAAAGGCGAAATAACATTGCATTCCCCCATTTCATTATTTTGACTAACGCCTGATTTCACCATGAAGCCACGGATATGGTGCACTCATGTTCCAAGCAGTGACAAAATCCTTTGTTCCGAGATCTCCAGACATTGTTACACCAGCCGTACTCCTTACACGGCTCACGTCACTTGTTGTGCAAATAAGCCATCTGAAACTTTGACCTCATCCGGCAGCTTCCAAAAGTTACAGAGAAGTCCTCAGACAAGAAAAAGGTACCAAGGAACCCAACACAAAACTATTGGTCCACAGTATATTGTCTATTGTTTACTTTTTGTCTTCACTTGAACAGATGATACTCATTATATCTTGCTATGCAAGAGTCACTTACTGCTTAGTTCATTATTTTAAAGAATGAACAAACATTTATTAATAAAAACATAATTTTTTTAAATGTCAAAGATGACAAATGTTACTAGAGCAACATACTAAGAAAACACAAGAGGACAGATCAGGACCACAGCTATTTAATAGGAAAAGAAAGAGCAAACCACATACGAACATCTACCAACCGCACACTCAAGGTCTTGACAGATGACAAAATGCCCTGATTTAAAAGAAAAAATCAAAATGACCGAGTCTTAAAAAGCCTAAATCTCAAGAGATAAGAAAAAGTAATACAGTGGAGTCAGCTTAAACCGAACACTTTAAATCTAAAAACAGCCGTTGGCTGAAAGAAAATAAAAGCTCCAACTTTTTTTCCCTCTGTTTGAGCAGTCCTCTCTAAATACAAAACCCTGCTATACCGAGGAAAACCCGGCAGTCATGCAGACTTGGATTTAAGTGAATTCCACTGTACAGTAAATGCGGTTTACTTGTGAGCATGCCATAAGCATCATAGGCTGACACATATTCGCCAGCAGTCAAGAAAGAACACAAACAGGGAACATTTTTTTCATTCAGTCATTCTACATGCACTGCGATCAAGATGCAACAGGAACGAAAACATTAAAAAAACGCAGAAAGTGGAAAATGGTGATAAAAAGAAGATGACCATGCAAAACAACACATGGTTATAGATTACAGAACACAGTGATGAAACATTCAATGCTGGCCTCGTTGCCCCCCCCCCCCCCAACCAATTTCCCCCACGATTGATTAGGTGGCAACACAATAATATGAAGAAATGATGGGCAAAGGTTCCAGTTACAATGATAGATGTTCACTAACAGCTTGACGATCAGAAGCGATGAATTTTTTTAAAGTACTAAAATGCGTATATGAAAAGAACACCTACCCCCCCCCCCCCCCCGGCAACACCTGGAAATACTGACAAAACTGACTAATATCATGAGAGCATTTGTTTAGTTAGTTAGTAGTGTAGGGTTTTACGGCGCTCGCAACTGCGCAAGGTCATATGAGCGCGCGAAACACAAGTTGGTCTTGTTCACAACAGTTCACTGTACGGCTGGCTCGGGTCAGTACTTTAATTTTAAAATGTTTAAAAATCAGTGTAAATATACATATATCAGCATTTGTTTGGTCTATGAAACTATTTTTAACTAGTAATATGGAGCAAAAAATTAATATAGAAATGAACAAAGTATGACAAAAAAAAGTGACCGCAACAGCAACATGCAAACAACATCTCTGACATGTCTCAGCAAATTGTAAAAGTGACCATCATGAAAACATGTATTGTCAAACAAAACATAATAAATGAAAAACAAATGGTACGTTAACAACATAACTTCTGGTACATACAGAAACAATATTTCTACCTTGTCTTGAAAAAAAAATGTTAAAAAACAGTAAAAGGTGCCATCGTCTCATATAATAAGCAGATAAAACTCGAAAGGGTACTGCGAGTAAAATAAAAGCTATGCATAGATGAAGAAAAATGAAAGATAACGAAGGGTATGGATTTCTTTTAACCCCCCTCCCACATCTGTATCTAATTTTTGTGGGAGTCAGAAAATGGTAAAAGAAATTGTACTTAAAAGTATGGACAACAATGGCAGTACAAAAAATGCTACTGAAAAAAATCTCTGTGAGCGTGGAGAGAAACAGAACAGGTGAACTAAGTAAAGATCATAATGATGGCGATGGCAAAAAGCTTTGATAATTGAATGAGTTTTACAACTTTAAGACACTTTATTACAATCAATTGATGTATTTAAAAAAAAGAAAAAAAAGAGAGAAAAAGATCAACAAAAAACAGAAGCAAAAAAACAAAAAACCCCAAAACAACAAAAAACAGTACCACCCAAAAAACCCAACAACAAACAAAACAAACTATATCCAACAAAGAAAGTCATAACATGAACAGTTAAAAAAAAAAAAGACCCCCCCCCCCCCGTCTTTTTTTACATACAAAAATAAGAACAAAATTGTAATTGAAGACTAGACAAGACACAACTAAACACCCCCATGGTCTGTCAAAAGATCAGGACAAACGGCATGGTCAACATGACCAGTTGTTCACGACGGGGCATAACATTCATCAGCTTGACAGAACAAATTAAAAAAACAAAAAAAAACACAAAACAACAAACAAACAATAACCCCCCCCCCCCCCCCCCTGAAGTTAATCTATTCAGAACAAACTCAAACCAAACCCCATCACTACAATTAAGCACTACACGATAAAGTCCTCTAGAAACCAAGAGGAAAAGGGAGGGGGTGTATGTGTAACGTGTAGGGTGGGGTAAAGAAATCTTACACTTTAAAAATTCAACAAAATCAAATACAATGAAATAAAACAAAAAAGTACAACCAATTATAATAAACAATATTTAATCACACATGGAAAAATAAAGAACCAAGAACTTAAACTGCCCAAAACATTTTCTTTGAAAAATGCACAAGCAGAAAACACACACAGAATGTAATGCAGTCAAGAACATTTCATTCATACAGCCAAGAGGTAAAAAAATGTCTTTACAACACTAAACACAACACAGTTCCCATGAAATAAAGGTTAGTACTGCATGTGTACATTATTATGTATCACAATTGGACATAGTAAGACCAGACAGAGAGGCAAACACAATAGGCATCTCATCATTTACTTTGGCTAAACACACCTCACCCCTCCTACGCCTCCCCAAACCACCCTTTAACACACCTGCTTGAGATAAAACGATAAATTAAGTAACAAACAAAACTCGGTTATTACATGTTCATCCTTCTCTAGCTCCACTCTATTCTACCCCCTCCCCCTCCCCCATACACCCCACTCTTTCTATCACCCGGGAGTAAACCCTATTTTTTCACCTCCTTATCTGTCACCTCTGCCTGTGGCAACAATTCTAACAGTTCTGGGGCAGCAAAGACCAGAGCATTCTGACAAAATAATAATACTAATAATATTAATAATAGCCTAATAATAATAGCCTAATAATAATAATAATAATAATAATAATAATAATAATAACAATAACAATAAAATGGGTATGTAGGTTGTATTTCACAAATGCTCTGGACCAAAGATTGTAATGAAACTTTCTAAAAATGTTAAGGATAGACAAAAAAAACCCCCAACTATCCGCAGACATCAATGTAACATGCTCGCAGTTAGTAGGCGAATTATACGTATGACAAATACATCAATACAAAAAAGGGGGACAAAAACCTCTGATATTTATTCTGAATAAAAGATGAAAGTATAGCATCTCCATTCTCGCAAATTAAAAAAAAAGTAATAAAAGGAAACATGAACGAAGAACACAAACATGAGATACACATCTAAAAATGAAGGGGATGAAAAAAAAAAAGAAGAAAAGTGACGGTTTCCTTTTCTGGGTGGGTTGAAAAGACATTGAAAGTATTTTGAGGGCCTTGGTTCCGTGTGAGAAACTGGATCGCAGGTGATGAAGCAAAACGTAAAAGGAGTATTGTAACAAAGCAGAAATAGTGTATCTCGAGGCAACCACAGAACGAAAGAAAAACCAAACAACAACAAGAACAAAACAAACAACAAACAAAACAGAAATGAAAAAGTAAAGGTCGAGAGTGGGGGAGACTTCCGGCAACTGATAAGGACAGAGATAAACAATCAGCAAGACCGAGCCAGACCCTGTAGCTAAAGGAGGCTTCTATATCTACACGACAAGGCCGCCACACGCACAAACACACAAACGCAAACACACATATAAACACCAACAAACAAGGGGAAGCAATCGCAGCCTTGCCTCGGGACAGGCAGGGGTAGGGGGCTAGGTTTTTTTCTCCACTTACCTCCCTTCGCCTAAACTGAAGTGGTGAAGGAAACGATCAATGATGAATGAGAATGTGGTATGAGATGAGTAGTGTAGTTACTGCTGGTGGCAATATGTAAAGCACGTGACACAGACGAGTCACACACGTAAACAAGTATTCATACGTCACATGCACGCGCTCTCGCGCATACACAGTGAGACACACATTTACATAAACGTAAAAAACACAGAATAATAGTATACGATGGTCCGACTATAATATTACAAGTACATATTAAAAATCACGTACAAACACATTTTCATTCCACTTTTTCCAAGCATCAGAAGACCCCCCCCCAAAAAAACAACAACAACAACCCTAGTCTAAGCTACAAAGAGGCCTCAAGATCCAATAACAGTTTGAGTAAAGAGAGAGAAACACACCGGCACCATAACGGTCATTTAGTGCAGGGAAAAAGCAAGACAGCTCGTCAGAAACAACAGAGGGACAAAAAAAAGTAGGACCTTCCAGTGCCTTCCACCTGTAGCACCCTCCAACTACCCGCCACACGACCGTCTCACAACACCCCGGGTAATGCACCACCAAAAGCCCCGGCAGGCTCAGCAGTGAGATTATTTTTTTTCTGGTAAGTGTTTTACGGCGCTCGCAACAGCATAAGGTCATATGAGCGCGCGGGACACACGTACTAATTACAGTTGGTAGGAAATTTTTGAATTTTGCCCAGGCCGAAGCCTACTCTTATCGATTTTAAACCACCAATGGATCTTTAACGTGCGCAACTTGCACACAGTACTTCCGAGATCTTTCGTCCTTGTCCGAGAAGGCTAGGTGTAGATCTTTCCAACCAGAAGATCAGGGGTGTGGCTGAAAGACAGCAGTAAGGAGCCAAGGAATAGGAGTAGAAAGGCTGCATAAAGAGATAGGAGCTCAGAAGAGGGGGCAAAGGAGGTGAGGGGGTGGGTGCAGAAAGAGGAGACAAAAGCAGACGACAGCACATTGCTAGAGAGCAGGAAAGGAGGTGAAAGGAGAAACTTTTAGAGAAGAAAGTTTTTCGGCCGCTACCCTGATTGGAACCCAAGACCTTTGAATGAGAGGCCAACACCTTAACCTCTAGGCCACGAGAGCCTCAACCAGATTGCTGGACTGGGGCGCCGGTGGCCAAGACCCCGGTTTGAATCCCCAGCAGAGTAATAAGAATATTATCATTCTTAAAAATGTGCCGTTTGATCAATGATCGCAAAGTCATCATAATGCCATCGTCCCCATCCCGTTAGTTTTCCCCTCAAAACTTAAGTTTTTATTAAGAGTTTTACGGCACTTGCAATACAAACAGGTTATACAACTGCTGAAGATTTTGACACGTTACCAGAGAGTACCATACAAAGAAAAGGAGGCTGAGAGATGAGAAAGAAAGATGTCTGATAGGAAAGGAGGAACTACCATACCAGAGCACCCGCCAACCACCCACTCACTGTTTGTTTGATTGAGTTTGTGTTGGTAAAGAAACGTTCATCAAAACAATAACGGCCATTTAGTGTCGGGAAAAAGAAAGACAGAAAGAAACAACAGAGGGAAAGTAAAGAAGTAGGACCTATCAGTGGCATCCTCGAATAATCCGCCATACTCACTGTAAAACTTTAAGTATCCTGTTACATGTACTATGTATACGTATTGTTTTAGTGAGTGTTTTACGGCACTTGCAACACAATAAGGTCATATAAGTGCCGAAGACTAAGGGGTGTCACAAGTTAGTAACAAACACAAAAAAGAAGGAGGGGAGATAAAAATGATAGATGTTAGATGGAAAAAAAAGAGCAAACCACACCAGAGCACCCGCCGACCACCCTCAGCCACGTTTCTTAAAATGAACAACAAAAGAACGTACAGACAAACGGTGGAGAAGAACGACCAGAGTCTTGGAAAACCCGCCACCACACGCCGTCTTTTAGTTTTAGTAGAGGTTTTACGGCGCTCGCAACTGCATAAGGTCATATGAGTGCCAGATGATTAGAGGTGTTACAAGAGAGTAACAAACACAAGGAGCTCCTTGAACAAACATAAAAAAGAAGAAGGGGAGAAAAGGACGATAGAAGTTTGATAGGAAAGAAGAAGCAAACCACACCAGAGCACCCGCCAACCACCCACACCACACGCCGGACGAAACCACTTCGCGACCTCAGTGCTTTCTTGTCGTATCTTAATTTTTTTTAAACAGTGAAAATGTGACTTCTTCTTCAGCTTACTCTTTGTTATGAATTGTTTTCACTTTAAAAAAACAACAAAACAAAATGGAGATACGACAAAAAAGCGCTGAAGTCGCGACTTGCAAGGCAGGAACCGATGAAATAGATCGGTCACAAGAAGTTGTGAGGTACAAACACATACACACAGACGGACAGACAGATAGAAAGACAGCAAGACAGACAGATAGATAAATAGAACGAAGAGAGAGAGAGAGAGAGAGAGAGAGAGAGAGAGAGAGAGAGAGAGAGAGA